CCTTTAGTTAGATAATCTATAAGTCTGGAATTATAAAAAAGTATTAATTCTCAAATAATATATAAGTTAAAAAATAGCTTAATAATAATTTATTATTTAATAGGCCTTTTATTATAGTTCTAATAAATCTAGTTATTATTAAAAATAAAATATATGAAAATAAAGTCTCTTATAAAGTTATTAAAGCCTCTTATCTAGAGCTTTCTCTTTTTACTAAAGGTTAATTTAAAAATATAGTAAATAATATAAAATTCAAAAAAGCTATCTATTTAGAATATATTAGTGCGATTTATAATATAATTTGCTATAATAAGCCTCCTTAATATCTAGTAATAAAGGCGGAAATTAAGTAATAATTAAAGGCAAATACTAATTAATATAGAAAACTATATTAGATTTGGTATAAGAATATAGCTAAGCGGGTTTAGATTACTTTTAAGTAAGTTCGAAAGTATGAAATAAGACTATTTAAGGGTAATAAGTCTTATTTTAAGTATATAGAAAAGAAATTAGATTAACTAATAAAGAAGAATCCTGAATATTTTATTATTTCGAATTCTAAATAGGATTTTTCTATTATTTTTAGTATTTAAGAAACAAGTATAAATAAATAGAAAGTCAGATATAATATAGCAGGCTATACTTATTAAAAATTATATTATTTTAGCGGTTTTAAGGTTTAGGTCATATAGTAAAGGCCGCGGCCTTTTATATATAACTTATAGAAATTATATAAGAAAGCTAGTTTTTCTATAGACTTAGAGAATAATCCTTTATAAGTATTTAATTAATTGAGCTTTTATATACTATATACTATATATACTTTACTATTTATACTTTTAATTTATTATTTTACTATTAAGTTATATTTTATACTCTAGTATACTTTATATAGGTTTTTATCTTATTATAGTTTCCCTCCTATACTAATTAAAAGCCTATATATCTAAATGCTTTAGGGCCTATAATTGGGCCCTATAAGCCTAGTAATTAGGGGCTTTTCTATATTAAAGTCGTTTTCTATAGTATTCTCTAAAAGATATTTCCGGTAGGTATAAGTAAGCTAATTTAGTAATTTATAGTATATAGAGATAGCTTCCGGTACTTATAACCTATTAAACTAGCTAAGTAAAGCTAGGGTCACGTGCTTGCAATATAAATCAAGTAAAATGTACTGAATTAACTACTATTCTATAGTAATAAGTAGCCCGTATATATAGCCCTAAACTCTCTAAGTCACATGTACTAAACCCTTAAACCAGAGAGCCTTATACTAAACCATTCAACCTCAGCTGAACTAATTTAGCCTCACAGGGCATATTATACCCTGAATCAACCTTACAGGGCATAATCTACTCAGTAATAAGCCTATGGCTTAAACCCCATTAGTGCACAGCCCCTAAGGCTCTGTTCCAGGGCTTACTAAGCCTATTAGGGGCCTCAGGCCCCTAATTTCAACAGCGGTCCTGGCGGTCCAGCATCACGTGACCCGAGGTTGCGCGATCCCGTAGCCAGAGTGCCGTCTAGTCGTTTACCTATAAAAGCTTTCCTATGAACATGTGACTAGTAATGAAATCCCAGTTGCCAGGTTCTCTTAGAGAGAACGTCCCAGGCCCAACGTTCCCCCGGAACTATTGTCCTGAGCCCATACCCATCCTGATAAAGAAACGGGATTGCTGGAGTATCTAGCTCTATTGGCATCTCCTTAATCCAAGCAGGAGGGCGAGCAGGATAAGTAAGGCACTAGTTTGCGATAGCTGTGATGTGGGCTGCTATAAACCCTTCATTTTTTCAGTGCTTAGCTCGGAGGTGGCTAGCAATTTCAGCTAGCACGAGAGCGTATTAGCATACTTTACAAATAACTACTCCATATATCGAGTCAAAGATTAAAAGATCCTCTTTAGTATAAGAAAGTAAGCTAGGGGTAAAAGAGGACATTATTAGTGAGTTTTTAAAGCGCGTTAAAAGTTAAGATATAATGAAGTTAGTTTTTTTCCTAAAAAGAATCAGATTAATTTTTAGGGTTAAAACACTAACGCGACGCATGAATAAAATTATATGTTATACTTAGTAGTAAAATCCATCCCTCGATCCCGAAATAGTTGGCGGTATCGTGATTTACACAAGGAGGAGCTCAGGAGGCTACGGGCTCGGCAAGGTGACCAATGAACGAGCGAGTAAATGAGGTCGAGTCGGATCCAGTTAGGTATAAGGTTTAGCATACTGTTTAGTAAGCCAAGCGCTCTTTAGATATTTGCCAGATTGTCAACCATTCAAATGTACTAAGTGCGAACCTACGTTCCCCTCGAATACTACTATTAGTAGCACTTCGGGTGCTACATCAGTTCGCAATTGCAAATAGTGTAGTCGTTGATTCTTCGTTGTTCTCTCATTCTACAGTACAGGCACAGTAAATATACTGTGTGTGTGCGAACGCTAAAGTAGCGCGTTCGCTTCTACGTCACTATAGGAAACCACCATAGAAACCGCCCTAGAAACCGCCAATATTAGGTCAGTGGTCCAAACAACCACCCTCCATAAACACGTCCGCGGGTGTCGCCGTCCAAAGAAAACAGAGGATATAAACAAGAGTGTAAAGCAAGAGAACCAGGAAGAGTTGCTAGGAGAGGTTGTATTAGATTGATTTTGGCTGTTCTACGTACAAAGAAAGAACTGCCAGTGTTGGTGTTGAACTAGCTAAAGCTAGGGTCACGTGCTTGTAATGTAAACCAAGTAAACGATACTGAATTGACTACTGTTCTACAGTGGTAAGTAGCCCGTATATATAGCCCTGAACCCCCTAAATCACATGCACTAAATCCCTATGCCAGCTGAACCGATTCCAGCTATACAGGGTATTCCAGCTGTACAGGGTATTCCAGCTATACAGGGTATTCCAGCTGTACAGGGTATTAAGCTAGTGCACAGCCCCATAGCATTCGGTTCCAGGGCTTACTAAGCCTATTAGGGGCCTCAGGCTCCTAATTTCAACAGTTGGAACATAGGTCATTTGGTCACGTGCCCCTGATTAGTCATTCTTATAATGACTCATCAGCTGCCTACTTAGGCACTGCGATCCTTATAATCTTCTTCTTTCTACACCTATTGAACAACGAACAAATCCACAGATTAATAGGCCATACAAGTGCACTAGGTGATACCAACAATAACTCTTGTAAACGTAATATAGCCAAAAGAATTGCGTAGTAGAAGTTTGGCTGGATCAATTTTTAAAAAATATCCTTGTAGATTGCAGGAGCTCTGTATGTAATTAGCCGCGCCGGTCAGAAATTTCAAGGCGAATGGCAACGAGAGGAGATCCAGCAGGCATTCCGTGATAACAGCGTTGCAGATAGTAGAATAGAATTCCTGCTAGCTAAAAGAACGGACGATGAGATAAAAGATGAAAGTACTTCGAGGTTGTCACAGCCCTAGCTGCACGTGACGGTACTAGCGGAGCCAGGTTGGTATAAGACCACCTCTCCTTTGCCTGGACTCAGACCTTCTTTCTGTAGCTTTGTATTCTAAGTTTACAAATCGACATTATGCTTCCACACTAAGGCCTCTTTTCTCGTGCTGTCACAGAGGTCGCATAGTCCAAAGCCCAAATATCAAGACAAACTAGTAAGGTCAAGTATCCAAAGAAAAAAATTGTCCTACTATTCACAAAAAGATTCCTCTCCCAAACGACCATTTAATTAGATGACTTAAGTAAAACTGCCCACTCCCCTCATTCTATTTCACTACTGAAATCCATATAACACGAAGGACCTGTCCGCACTACGCACGTCATTTAAATTGGTCTCGAGGTCGTCTATTTTCGAGCAATAGTGGGACAAGGAGGGACAAATGCTCTAAATGGGCTGCAGTATGATAGATTATTTCCTTCCAAGTATTGAAGTGTCGGCCACAAAACTTGCAGAACTCATCTTGTGGTCTATTCTGAGTCTCGTGATGGCACAGTTCGATCATATTGAACACTGGTTCTGTGTGCCCCGCCTTCAGGATAGCAGCTCTTGTCTTCTGCTTGGGCTTCGGGAACTTGTGCTCCCGGACAAGATGTTGTAGAAAATTGGGTTTCCGATAACAAGGATGGCGACAGTCGTCAATTTGGCATATCCACCACTCTAATTGTCGATGAACGTTTTCATGCCGAATCCAGGGTGTCAGTGTCTTGAAAGTAGGATTTTCTGACCGGCAGCGTGGCCACGTGCAAATATAAGACTGAATGTCGGAGTGGACATGCTCATTCCATTGCCTAGCGGACTGTACACTCGTAGCTTTGTAGCAAAACTGACATTCGAACCGCGCCGGAAGCTGGATTCCTGCTGGAACTGGAATACCTGAAGCGGCCAAATCTACCGTGTCATTTTCTCTGTCACGCACATGTCCTTCGCGCGGTGGAATTGGTTTGAAGGTTCCACCCAAAGCTACGCAATAAGATCCACCTGATACACAGGACCCTCTAGTGACCATAGAAGAATGCTTGCTCTTCAAAGCTTCAAGTCTCCCTAGTGCTCCAGCTAAGGCCACTGAAATTTTATCGATGAGATCTTCATGATGTTGACGAGCATAAGGGTAAATAGCACCTATCGCATCGAACAGGCCTTCGCGAGGAGCCCGATTTTGCAAAATTGGTAACATCACGCGGACGTCACCACTCGTCTCTTGGAAAACAGGCCGAATGCGGATATTTTTCAGGTGCCTTAGTGAGTCATCCACACTGTGGGATTGGGTAGCTTTTAGATCTCCTCCCGAGAAAGTGGATAGAACATCTTCTTCGCTATCATCGTATGGGAAACGATTCGTACCATTTAAATGGGGGGCCGAACGGTAGTCCACATCGTAGTCCGAATCGTAGTCCAAATCCGTCGTATAATCTTCGCCAAGGATTTGAATTGGCTCGTAGGGAGAGCGTTTGCTCAGTTCATCAAACCAAACACCACATTCGTTGCTGTACCTAGAGGTAAGTTTTTCTCCTGGTTTTGAATTAGAATAACTTACCATAACATGCCACCACCAGGAGCTTCCAAGTAAGTAGTCGAGTGGCATCCCGGGCGTGGACAACGCATTTCACTGTTGAAGCGCGGTAATATCATAGCCATGGTAATTTTCATACCAGGGAAGAACTGCCACTTGTTTGAATTTATGGAAATTGAGGGATTACTTGTGTCGAATAGTTCCCACTGATCATGCGCAACAAGGTCCTTTCCCTTGCCTTCTCTGAATCGAGCTCTTATGACGGCTTCTAACATCTGATCTCCTTTAGCTCGTATGACTCTGTTCCTACAGATGGAAAAGCCCTACCGCGTAGTCGTATTCTGTGGGAACCGGAAAGGGGATGCCAAAGGGATCTTCAACTCTCATACGCGATTGGAGCCAGGTATGAGCAGTACTAGCAACAGAAATATTTGTCTGTAGTGACAGCAAGAGGTTGTAGCATCGTAAAGTTGTTGAGCTATCCACTGTGAGCCATCTTATTTCCTCGAAGTAGGGCATAATGACAACTCACTATGTGTTGCATGCAACCTCTGAGATTTTGCCTAGGCTTTGTAAAAAGTCTCCAAAGGTCGTCGTAATTTTGTTTTCGAAGACTTGTACTACCCTGGACGCCTGCTGTTGTGAATTTTTGACTTCATCGCAGATCAAATAGGTCTCATCTGCGATCCTGGATTCAATACCTCCAATGACAAGGCCTAGCTTCTCAACTCCGCCGGCAAGGGCCTCTATTTGTGCTCGAGACTTGCGATCGTTAATGACTTTAAGTTTCCTATGTGGCGCCTGATGAGCTTCCGACAACCTACGCCTGGCCGTTTAGGAGAATAAGACAAATGGCGGGGTATACGTACACTTGGTACAGACCGAGCAACATATTGATGCTACCAACATACCCTGCTAGCTCGCCTCGTAACTTTCCCACTGCATCGTCTTTCTTCGTAGCTACCCATCTTATTTTGCGCGCGGCGTCTTTGATGGCGCCAGAAGATTGACCAATGCCTAGGCTGCGGTCATATGGCTCAATACTAGCAAGAAATTGCTTCAGCGGCAGCTGGCAGGATAACGCAGCTGCTTTTATTGAATTCCCAGTAGCTTCGAGATCTTGTGGTGGATCAAGCTTATCGACTTCATTCAAGGCGAATTTCAGGCTATTCAGCTGGAGGTCAACTTGTCGGTACTGTTGGGCTGAGCCGCCAGCTTCGTGTAGAGCACAGCTGACTTTGAAGATGAGTTCGCCTGCTGCAAGGAAGTCGCCAACGGAAAATCCGAAAGACATGATGACCCGAAGTGGCCTTTAAACACATTAATGTTGGGTTCGAATAGGAATTGATGAAGTGTTGGCAAGATGCTGTATGCGGCAGCCACACTCGAGCGGGGTATCCACGTGCGACATCTACGATGGCCACACTAGTAAGGTTACGGGTATGTCCGCGGTTAATATACCGCATACTCAAGTACGCAGCGTACAGGGTTCCCCAAAACTACTAGAAAATCACGTATAGTGGTCAGAATTGAGTATACTTAATAATGATTGATTAATTAAATTATTTTTCATATTTTAATTTTTTAAAATTTATTATTTTAATACTTTTATTAATAACTTATACAAATTATTTTAATAAAATAAAGTAAATAATGAGACGACGAGCCCGCATCTGGAAACCGTGCGCACAATCCAGGCGCCGCTCTCGGTTGGTTGTGCAGGACCTCAGATCTCGTCTTCAGCTGGTTAATCGCACAAATGCTGTCGTACCGCCATCTTGTTTAGCTGCGCCGCGGAGATCTCCGAAAGTTGGCGCCTTATTATCTGATTATGGGTTGCGACCTTTCTCCTTTAATAGAGGCTTGCATGCGGGAATTCTTTTACTGGCTTACATCGACAGCCTCCTCTCTAGCCAGGCGAAAAAAAAAATTCTGTCCAGGCAGACTCGCTTGATATTTTGTCCATAGCCAATAAAAAGGGGCTCCCTAGTTGCATGCTCATTCAGCTATGCTGCATTTAGGAGAAAAGTTCCGAAATCCAATAATAAGGCCCTGAAAGAGCAAAGCGTTCAAGATTGAGACAGACATCACGTCACCCTCAGACCACTGCTTAACCAGATGTGCAGTTAGCAGACCAATTCATAGCCAATACGGTATAGTGTACAGTAAGGATGCGCAGACGACGCATAGACAAAGGGAGAAAAAGTCAGGCCGACTTTCCCGCGAATTGTCTAGTAGGCAGGGCTGGAGCGTAAGAAATCCATACTGTATTGTAAGGCACTTAGTTAAAGCTGCTAATATAGAAGGGGCGAGTCGAAGAGCCTCGCTAGCGCGAGACAGGGAGCCTTCGCTTCAGTGGCCAATCAGTGGCCAATCAGCGGCCGGAGAGTAGAAAGTGGCCCAGTTGCATTTAAGCATACTAATTACATTAACTTTATTATATAAATTAATTTAATTTCTAATAAGGCTCTTAATAAGCCAAATATAAGTAACTTTAATTAAGAGATCTAAAAATTACAATTTGAGTATTACTTATATTATTAATTAAATATTTCTTATAAAAGTATTTATTTTCGTGGTTTCTTTAATGAAAAAGTCTTAACTTCTCTTATATAAGAACTAGTTACGAGTAAATTTAATTCTTAAAATATATTAAGTTAGTATTATAATTTAAATTAAACTAATTCTTTTAAGATTAAGTAATAACTAAGGTTTAATTCAATTTTATAAAGTACTTAATAATAATTTAAAATAAAGTTAGTAATCGAGTTCGATTTCTTATATAAGATATTCAATTTGTAATACTTAATTAATTAGAATTCCTTACTTAATATAGGTCGAGTACTCGATTTTAACTTATAATCTTATAATTTATTTAAATATAATTCTAATAAATAAACTTAATTAAATAAACTTAGCTTCTGTAATAAATTTATATTAGTGAGTTATATAAGAAAATAAACGGACTTGGCACTAAGTCCATTTAAAAGTTATAAATAAGGTAAAAATATAAAATAAATATCTCATATACAGCTGTAAAGATTACTTCATTATATTAGCTAATGGAACAAAGACACGCACACCGCTTTCAAGCTCGCGCTAGGTAATAGGTGACAATAATCGTTGCACGCTTGCAACTTTCTACAGCAGCATATCTTGTTCCATATAAACCATGTTCCCACTTGGTATTCTATATTGTGTTTCTCTTCACGACTGGCAATATTAGAGCGCTTTCGGGACCGGTGCGCTTCGATAAGAGTTCTGATACCGAGCTACATAGGAGCGATAATGGGGCTAAGCCCATGTCTCTGCATCTCACCTCCAACTGGTTGATTCGGCTAACAGCACAATGTCTCAAACGGTGAGACTGTACAAGAGTACCCCGCAGCTGAAAATCCCACACATGATTCTCATGCATATGGTAATCTGAATATGCAGGCCATCGGAGAAAGCATTATCGCAGATTTGCGAGAAGGAAAGTAGCAGTATTGTGCTATTTCGACCTACATGAATCCTTTGGACGACTTGGATTGCACGGCTTCCCCACCATCTCATGAACAAACACCCTTTCTTCAACTATGAGCTATATGCCAATTGGTTTTTGTACTTTATGAGCTGGTCGCAGCTCGGGCGACTGAGAGTTGCAGATTTTTGGGGTGCCGATCCTCTCCTACCACAATCCAAACACTTCAACAGCTTTAATCAAAGGCGGAATGGAAAACACATGGCCAACTACACAATATAAAGTCTAGGCGGTTCATGTTGAGTTATACTCAAAAAAACACGGAGAAGATGACGAGGATATATGAATTTTGGGGGGGAAAGTGCTGAGTGGTTGCTGCAAATAGGCCACGGATTTTGCCGAGAATACGAAGCCAGCTGATGCATCTTGCTGTTAAAAATCAGGTTTTGGTGCAGGCCAAGTCAGCTGCCCATTTATCAGGCTTTTTCAGCCCTGGCTAGACCCTCTCTTATAATCATCAATTCATCAGTTGCAGACGGCTCGATTCAACCAAATCTTAACACCTGCAGCACGAACACCAAAGACCAGCCCCATTGCAACCTGAATCCTCAACACTCCAACTTCGTTATCACTTAGGACACAAGTTTCTACAAAATTACTTCTGCCGCTTGAGAAGTCTTTCATTACTTAGAGGTCAAGATCGGTACTTCTCAGGAATTTATAGCAACTCTTTGCAGACTCAAGCAGGTACACATGGCCTTGCCGTCTTTGACGCCATTGGAAGCATTCTGCGATCGATGTCAACTATTTCTAGCAGCATTTCTACGTGATGACTACAGTATCTTCATTCACGATGTTGAGGACTGGATCATGGAACGTACCCGTTTAGATCCATGTTATCGGCATCACAGAAGTCTTATTCAGCTCCAAACTGCCAGCGATAGTGGCTGTCCGATTTGTATGCAGATATTCGCTACTCTTAAATCTGGATTGTCGGTATTTACATCTGGGACAAGTACTTTCTGGATTGTTATCAAACCGGAAGATGATAACTTGAAGGTGTCGTTTGTCGATGACAGAGGCGTACAGGGGAACATTATCGACTTCAAGGTTCTTAGATTCGTCTGTGACGAGAATAAGGATGGCGTTCCCTCGAATTCCGATTTACTGAATGTTTCGCAAGTTTTTGTGACCGCGAAAATAGATCAAGAACTTCGGCGCAACCATACGCTTGTCGACTCTACAATTGAGCCGATGCCAGAGATGTTCATCGGGAACCGAAAGAAACAATGGGGCCTCCCTATTTCGACTGATAACTGTCTGACGACTCTTGCTCATACTTTCTCACAAAGAACCGATGATGATGCTGTTGTCAAGCTTGCTCAAAATTGGCTCACGACTTGCGTCCGTGACCATACAAATACATGTAGCCACGCCCCAGGCTACATGCCCCCTCGTCTACTTGATCTCCGAGGCTCTGATGTCAAACTTGTCTTGCGCCAAGGTATAGACGACTTCAATATGTCATATGCGGCTTTGTCGCATTGCTGGGGTGCACACCACAGCTTTTAGTCCTTACGTCTGATAATATCACCAGTCTAATCGATGGCATCCGGATTGACGACCTGCCCCGAACATTCCAAGATGCCATTTTGCTGTGTCGCAAACTTGCCATCTCATTGTTATGGATAGATTCGTTATACATTATTCAGAAAGGAAATGAGCATGTGATACCCCCGTTCGTCAATACGAGCGATTGATCAATCGCCCTCCCGATTGATCAATCGTAGTGTCACGTGCTACGCACTGGCCATACATAGGCCTATATATAGCTATTTCCCCGCCCTTAGGGCACCATCATTCCTTACTATTATACCAATATACACCCATATTATCCCCACAGCCCCTTCAGGCCATGACACGTAGCGCCCGATTAATCAATGGGGGGGTTTACGATTCGGGCTCTACAGTGGGTCCCGATTGATCAATCGGGACCCCGATTGCCCAATCGGGTAATATTGAGGTTTCGGGAATGGCAAAAGCAGTATATATTAGTATATTTCACCCAAATCAAGCTTTATTATACATGCCTCCTATTTCGTCTAGGTGCTTTTATAGCTACCCTAGCCCTTTTTGGTACCCTTACACCCACTTGTTTACCTGATTCCCCTTCTCTAGCTCTATCCTTACGTACTTGCTCAATAGCTACTCTCTTCTTTATTCTCTCAGATACCCTTCCAGCCTTCTGAACTAACGAAATTGAACCCCGATTATTCTCCTTTGCTACTACTTTAGGGAGGGTAATTTTGTCTTTCTTATAGGCCGTACCAGTAATAGGCAAATCAGGATAAGTTAATTATAAAGCAACTTTATTGAGAGTATTATATGGCCAGAGGGTTATAAGCTCACCATACTTAGTAGTTAACCGGTAGCCCTGTTTTTAATTAGCTTTAGCCAAAAGTATATCCTTATAAGTTATATACCTTTAAAGTCTTTTCTAGAACTCTTATTAGAATCCGAGCTATTTCTATACTAAATCGATATTGCTTTGAGATCTATAGGGTTACGATCTCCTAAATATTATATTCAAGAGCTTTAGTACTAGCCCTTTTTACTATCTTCTCTTACTATTTCTTTATATACTCTGTAACTCTCTTAGTTAGTTCAGATAAAATCATCTCCTCTACTGCTTTCTCCTATTCTGCTTTCTTATTAATAAATAAGCTATTCTCTCTATTTTTTTCTTTTCTTTGAACCTTAATAGTAGATAATTATTCAGAAGTACTACTCTTATTAATATCAATTTCCCTCTTTCCTAAGGCTATATATATACGGTAAGTACTCTCCTTATAATTCAGGAAATCAGTAGATGGCTTTCGTCCAAACCAGACCTCATATAGTATATTACCCTTAGGAAGGGCAGATATAGCCGTAGTATTAATTACCTATATAATTAAAGGAAGTAATTATATCCAAGATTAGATACTAGTATCCGCTCGTACGGCCCGTAATCATTTCTTGAAGATTCGATTAGGGGTAATAAGCTCGTCTGCAAATAATCTTTATCTCTCTCTTCTTATAAACCTTAATTACTTTTCCCTTAAACTCGCCCCTATTATTACAGGCTAGAATAATAATATACCTATTATTATTTAGCTATTTAATAAGCTTGTCTGCAGCTTCGTCTGTAGTCTTAGCCTTAAGCCTACGGATCCAAATGAACTTAGAAAAATGGCATTTCAATTATCAGATCTATATATATTCTCTATCCGGATTATACTATAATAATATTAGTAAGTAGTATAGATAAAAATCGTAATTTTTATAATTTTCGCGAAAATCGCGAAAATTATAGGAAAAGCTCAAAAATGCAGGAAATACAGGAAATACAGGAAAGGCTAAAATAGGAGTAAATTACATAATTTAGGAAATACTTATATGGAAATCCATTAAATCCAGAACCATATACTGGCCAGGATAATGAGATTGAATGGGTATTACTCCTATATTATTCTTTTGAGCCTTCTTCTTATTATAATAAGTATAATAGGCACTTATCCAAATGTGATTATTACAGGATAGGCCATACCAAAGTCGTCTTATATACTTAAATACAGTATTAGAAGCTATTATATAATTAGTATAAAAATTAATAGCTTTAAGGGAATACTTACCTATATATATTAATTTCTTATAAATAGTAATTAAAATCTCAAAGGCATTATTATAGTAAAGAATATACCGGGCTAGAAGGATCTTATTACAGCGAGTATTATAGTACTCCTTATAATATACTTAATTATTCTAAAGCTCGTATAAGTGGGATTTGTACTTAATATTAGTATAGTAGTACTTCTCTGCCTTAGTTCTACCAGGAAGCGGAGTATTAGGATTTTGAAGCCACTATCTAATATCTATATGTTTCCTAGTAATAAGAATTTTCCTACTACCCCCCTTAGCAAGCCTCTAATCCTATGCAGCTTCGTCTTCGGCAGACCAATTATTAGTAGGCTCTTTAGTAATTGGGGAGGGCAAAAACTAGATACCAGACAAACGAGCTCCTGGAGCAGTAATATCAAAATATTGCTCTGCTTACCTATAAATATGCTAATAAGGCATATACAGGGTTGGGAATAAACAAAGGATTAAAAGAGACATATTAGAAGTAAAGTAATTAATTAATTAAGAGGTATAAAAATCAGTGGTTATACTTGGTAAATTAGTACTTGTGGTACTTATAGTATAAACTATATCTAGAAAATAAGAGAGTAAAGGCCCCATATATATCTAGAAGCTCTGGAGAAGTGTCTTTACCCCTATTATTACTTCCCTTAATGCCTAGAAAAAAATTAAATAAACTATATAATGCTATAGGTATAGTATAAATAAGTAAGGTATAAGCGAAATAAGAAAATTAGACTTGAGGATATACTTAGTATTAAATATTAGAAATCTATATTATAGTATAAAGAGTAAGGCTTAAGCGAAGTGAAGAATATAGAATTGAGGATATATTTAGTATGAACTAGTAAGTAAAAGCTTTTAGCTCCCTTAGCCCTATTAGCCCCGAAACCCCAATATTATGCGATTGATCAATCGGGACATTGATTAATTAATCGGGACCCACTGTGGAGCCCGAATCGTAATTAGCCCCGATTAACCAATCGTAGCGTCCGATTAATCAATGGGAGGGGGCGATTGATCAATCGCTCGTATTGACGAACGGGGGGGAACACATGCAGCAGATTGGCAACTTCATGTTCGGGAAATGTCATCAATCTATTCCAAATGCATTCTCTGCATTGCAGCAGACAGTGCACCAGATGGTAGCGGAGGCCTTTTTGTCTCTCGTGACGCAGGACTTTGGCGACCTGTCGCAGTTGACGCCAGGGCTTGGCGTGGTTCTTTAGAAAGTAACCCATCACCGTCAACACCGCCAGACCGCGACATCGATGAGGCAACCGAAGATGGACTTCTCATTTTGAATGTCAGTCACATTGACGAAGGCTTCCGAAAATGCCCCCTCTCCACACGCGCTTGGGTCTATCAGGAACGTTTCCTAGCACCTCAGGTTTTGCATTTTGGATTGCATCAAATCTACTACGAATGTCTTAGCGGCGACCTTGCGTCGGAGTGCTTTCCTGGAGGAGGCAAAATCTTTAATCTTCCATCGTTGGACGAACGACTTGGTTCATTCACATTCAATCCAATCATCTGTCCAGAAAAACAATGGAGGGAGATTGTGGGCCCATATTCTCGGAGGCTACTTACCTACAACTCGGATAAGCTTCCAGCTCTCGCTAGCGTAGCACGACAGTTTGCGGAGAGGAACAATTTCACCAAATATCTTGCAGGATTCTTCGATTTTGGCACGCTTACTCCTCTTTTATGGAGAGTGACCGAAACAAGACATGAGATTAACGAGTCAGAATTACAACCTGTTGGTGTGTATGTGGCACCATCATGGAGTTGGGCAGCTGCCACTGGACCCATTGAGCTCCCTGATATCACTTCTAACGAGATTGTCCAAAACTATAACCTGGCTCATGTTCAAGGTCATGAGTGTGAGCTGTTGGATAAGAGCAACATTTTTGGGCAGTTGCTGTACGCGTCAATGACAATCGATGCTCCTTTTTGTGATATCATCTTTGAGGAAAATGTCCAGAAGGCGAATGATGAATCAGGCGACATACATCATCACTACAGAAGCACATTGGATGCAGCACTCAAAGTCACTCAATGTCATCCCAATCCGAAATGCCAATTCTATCCAACTCTTGCCTGGGCACAACTTTACAATCAACACTTCTTACGAGAACTTTTATCCATGAGAGGTAAAGATTTGTCAAGCTCAGACCGTACGCCACAGATTGATGAAAATGTCTCGATAGCTTTTGATGGTACCAAACTCGAGCTAGGACCCAAATATTGTGTCGCCTGGATTAGAAGGAGGCAAGTCGAACAGCTTTACAACATTGATATTCTACACGAAGGAATTATCCTGAAGAGGTGTCGAAGCAGGTTGGCATTCCATCTTGAAACTCACTATACGAGGATTGGACATATCATACATCAGTGGAGGCTGTTTTTCAAACATGAATGAGATTCTATCATAACAAGAGACTTCGGTGTGGGAGATGATTGGGACCCGGTCTCCATGGCTGACTTTAAAGCGCCGATGGAGAAGACCATCAACTTCAAAATGCTGTGAGATGGATATCATGAAACTTCGTACTGACTTCATACGTTCAGGTCATTGGGGTCAAGCTTGTCGGAATCACGCACCACTAGGCTCTCCACGCCGCGAGTTGTGTCCGTGGCTCATAGGCTAGGAACAGCGCCTTAGCTGGAAGGGTTTATGCTCGTGGGCGAGCTCAGCCGTAGATTTAGAGGCCCGTTTTCTTTACCTGGGGAGATCGGCTTCGCCTGCCAATTATGATCGGCGTTAACGTCGCTCCCAAGGGAATCTAAGCGCTCACTAAGGCTGAACAGTGTGCTCGCTTTTTCTGTCTACAGAAGTACCGCCTTTGCAGTATTTCCCAGCTTTGTACTACTTACAGGAGCATTATCGGCTCTAGCCCTAGTATTCGCCCTACTATGGAAGACCATATTGGAATCTACGACGAAATGGAATCTAAGATTTTTACTACATATAGTTGGCTCGCGTGTTGCTCCGCTATTAACCTCCTCGCTATCCCATGCTCTCCCCGCGTCTCCCCCCTTATACTTCATCTCGCTTTTAATAACGTTATTATGTTGAGCTACACAGTTTTTTTATGCTTTTACATAAGGATGATTAGCGGACATTCAATTATAGGGAGCGCGCGTCTGTCACGCGTGTCTTGACGCGTACGTATGCTTTCTATTCACATGCTTTTTGCATCCCATCAACTTATATATCCTTTCAACTTGTGACGATTCTGTCGTTACCTGACTTTCACCTGACAAGCCCTCTAGGCCTTCCTGAGCCTGGCTCAGGAAGCGCTCCACGTGACGGGCCCCCTATATATATATGAGACTCAGGGTCTCTCCCTCTCTCTTCTTTTCTTTTCTCCTTAGCTTTAGATCCTCAGTATATAGGCAATATCTAGGAGTCTCACAGACAGTACGCCGTCGCCCGTGAGAGGTCAAGTTGAGAGAAATGCCAAATCTTGGGCTCAGATTAAACTGTTAAGAAATACGTGAAGAACTAAGAATACAAGTGCGGTCTGCTAGCAAATAAACAGACCGCTGGGGTACAACACTAGTCGTTGTCCAGCAACTACTCAACAGAGCTGTCACTTGCGTAACAACTGACCCTATAACACCCCAGAGAAGGCCAGTACAAGGATTAGTATAGAGTCCTGTAATAAGAGGCCAAACCATTGGATTACGGAGAAGCCGAATATCCTGCAGAAGTACCGATATTCTGGACCTTCGGAGACACCGAACATTAGATCACTTTCGGAAGCCCCGAAAGCCCAGTCAATGGAGACACCGAAGGAGTGCTATTACATAGTCTTATAAGGGTCTTGAGGTTGAAGATAAATACAAGGCTATAGCCTTCTCTTAGAAGGCAAGCTTGAGGTTTTCTTTCTTAAGAATATTAGTAGTACATACTTTGATCAAGTAATCTACTTCTGCTCGCTTCTAATATTGAGTGAGCCTTGTTTCCCACTCCTTATTCTGCTATACTATGATCCCTCCTGCTGCCCGCAGGCGACTGCAGCCTATTACACCGATCCTGAATTAACTCGACCCCGATTCTGAATCAACGCGAACCCGATTCTAAATAAACCCGACCCCAAATGAACCTGAGGTCGAGTTCTTTTCGATAAATGAACGCGGGTCGGATTAGTGTGGTTATTAGCGGTCCAGGCCGTGCTTTGCAAACGCAAGGCTCGTTGCGTAGCCGAGCGTGCTGTCTATATCGTACTGAATAAGTATTGGCCAGTGCTGCTGCTCGGAGCGTTGAAGGCAGACGTGTATCCACTCCTCTTCCTCCTCCTCCTCCTCGTTAATGTTTGCGTGCTTGCCCTCGAAGACTCTAGCCCACTCTACGTACGCCGTCTTCTTAGGGGTACCGTAGCGTTAACTGGCTTAGTACGTCGGGGACCTGCCCTGTAAGAGCCTCAAGGTCACGGAGCGAGTAGTGATTTGTTAGTCGGCGCTGGTCTTAGAAGTGAAGCTGGCGGGCCTGGTCGTGTGTATTCGGCTCGCATCCGTGGAACTGGAGTAGGTGCTGACCTAGCTGCGTAGCAAGGTCGACTGCCAGCTCTTCTTTTCGTAGCTGGTCTTGGATAATCGAGTCGTCATCTACGTAATCCTCGCCTAAGCCCATATCCTCGCCTAAGCCCATATCCTCGCCTAAGCCCATATCCTCGCCTAAGCCCATATCCTCGCCTAAGCCCATATCCTCGCCTAAGCCTCCTTCCTTATCCCTAATTACTTCTATAGCTTTAGAGGGAGTACTACTAAGCTCGTAGAACTCATCGTCTATAGGGGCAGGCACTAGGCTATCCTTAATCGGCTGTAATGCTATAGAGATCGTTCGGCTAAGCCGGCTAGTAATAGAGCTGGCTTTTGGTAGGGATGTTGACTTTGAGACGTAGTAATAGTCGCTAATTCGGACCTGGGCAAGGCTAGAGCTTTGTCAACTCGACTGTCATGATGCTGGGGCAGTGGACTACTAGCGGCTACCTAGGCTAGGGCTTAGGTCCGTGCTCTGAGCAAGCTGGATATCGTCGTTAGTAAGGAGAAGTTGAGGCTCACGTATCTCCTCTCCCTCTCAATTCCCTTCCTCTAACTGCCCTTCCTCTAAGTGCTCCTCCTCTAGCTAGACTAAGCTACTTGCTTGAGCTATAGTTACTTCTCTTTTATTATGTCTTTCTTGGCCTAGTATAAGTAGGCTACTAAGTATAGTAATATTAATAAACTAACTTGCTTATTAACTAGAATTAGTTAAAGTAACATAGTTAGATGTAATTACGTATATAATACGTTACTTCCTTGCGGAAAAATAATTGAAATAGGAGTAATTAGGGTCTGATTCGTATACGAGTTAGTCCTTAATTAATCTGAGTTACTCCCTCGTCCCCTCGATTCTCCTTTAGTATTCGGGATTAATTCAATCGCAATTTAGACTCTCCTAACAAAAAGTAATTATACTCTCAGAGAGTACTATAGCGGGGTAATATAGCTAAAGTACTTTTAGCTAATTAATTACTTTTAATTTTTTAGTTATTTAATTACTCTTTTTATATCTTTATTTAAAAGGCCTTTTTTACTATAATTTAATAAAGAAGAAGATATAGTTATTAGCTAAGCTTTAAAACCTTTATTAAGCTAAGTCCTTATATAATAACCTTAATTAAGGAGAGTTAAGGCTAATTAAGTATATATATTTATAGTATAAAATATTAAAATCTACTATCCAAGCAAGGCTCTATAGTACGGCACTCAAAAAACTATATTAGTATTTAAATAGAGTTATATTGCTATATTATAAATATCTTCTATATATCTTTCCCTTCAAGCGTATAAAATAAACCCTGTTTACTTCTATTCTTGCAATGCAATACTCTTCCAATATTCACTTCTCCTTGACAAATCTTCGATAGTCTTCTCACAGCAACTCACTACAGCCATATACTGGTCGACCTCCAGTCTAATCATATACTCAATTTTCATTATAGTCAAATTATCAAGCAGGATATCCTTAGACTTCAGCAAGTCTAGGATTACTATAGCAAGAATGGATTTGGTCTGTTTACTCGGATCGATTTCCCGTAGAGGCTAATTTGGTATTAAAAATACATCGAGTACTTTAAAGCGAGAAGCTACCGCTAATCAATTACTCGACCCGGGAGTCGTCGGTACTAGCGCCATCTCTCCCGTTGTATAGCATGGTATAGAAATGGCTATAGTCTTGGCAGCTTTTCTCGAAGGTATAGCATTATATATATCCCCCAACTCGTCTGGAGAGTCCTTAGGTTAGTATTACTTGGCTAGCATTGAAGGAGGATAATTTGAAGAATATACATACCTTTACAGGCGAGTATTCCAGCCGGGCTGGCTTCCTCCTTTACCTCTATCACATCCCGATTTCCGTCTCCTCTAATAAGTAATATGGGATCATCTCCCCTCTTCCTCTTATTTGGTAGTGGGGTTTTCGTTACGGCGGAATCCAAAAGCCCCATCCCTACGAGCCGATCTTTTCTGAGCTTATGATCTTCCTCCAAAAGCCAGAATTTGCAACCTGCGTCCCTGCTCTTGGGGCATCGCCAGACTATAGAGCAAACAACTTGCGAGTGCGTTTGATGGAATGATACAAATGAGAAATTAAAACATACACCACTAGAGTAATATAGCCAGGGTGAAGTCGTGGAATAAAGAGGAAGGGCAGGGAAGTTGAAGAACAACTGGCCTTGGCAAGGAGCTGTTGTGGTAGCTGCACACCCCGGGAAGAGTGCATTCTCGGCCTAGCACAGACCCTGCTTTTATTTTGAGACTCGTCCACAGAAAGTTCAAATCGACGTATCTACTTCATAAAAACAAGAAAGGACCTCATATTTGAACGATACTTGAATACTTTACGCTTAAATCACATCGAGTTTTCAAATCCCACTTCTGGCCAGCATTGCAAGAGCTTAAGGAAAGCAAAATTGATATCTTCAAAGGTGCTTCAGAATTGGCCCTCCAGGCCATGCAAAAGAGGAAGCAGCGGATGCAAGGATAGCTGCCGTGTGGATCCAAGGCCTGCGAAATGGGGCGAGCCAGAAACATCCCCTTTCTCAGAGGGACCAATCCAAAATCCACTGCCTCAATTCGGCCGACGTGAGAGCTGCAGCCTCGCATGCGCAGCCCTCGAAAAATAATTCAGCACTACTACACCGATATTAGAGGGGGAAGAATGAGGTTTGAATGCAATGATGCGAAGGTTTCTGTCACGTATGTTCCAAAGGATTTCTGTTGAGGGAGAAGCTGTCGTTACTCACGTCGGAATTTCGAGTGCTTGACGGCCCCAAGAATTGCTGACTCTGACCATCATCTGCAATGGCGGGCTCTTTCACACGGGGATTTGGATACACTCGCCATGGCCAGTTCCTGTGCCACGGCCATGACGACGACTGCCACTTCCCCCGAGCCTTGTGTTCCTTTTTGTTTAAGGCCATCGCCTTATCGTGAACCATGCAGTGGCTTCTCGAGCCACACCATGAGTCCACGAGGCATCCAATTGGCGGGAGCGAACCGCCTTCCACACACCACAGATTTGGCCAGAGATTTGAAGAACGAAATCCTCTATTGTAATCTCAGATCACGTGTCTTAATCATGATACATACTCCGGCTAGACCTCCCCCCTATATGAGCTGATAACGGGAAGAACCCAGTTTCTTATCAGATCCTGAAACGGCAACCTCGCCGAGCCATGCTCACATGATCGCATCAAAATGAGGCTGAAGAATCTGACTTATGACACAATATGCGGCATGAGAGGTAAGTAACAGCACGCTTGCTGGAAGATGCTGAGAGATGTACGACGCAGAATACAATAAGCCTTTGCTTTGACCTACAATTAGAAGTGCAATGGCAGGCACTGAGGATCCTCCTTCGCTCTCAAGTCCAGCTCCTTGAGAGAACAGTCAGCTATCAGTAGTGGAGGAGTCCTCAAGGATTTCTGAAGTGGGAATTATTCCTGTGAAGGCGCAGCATTGCAGAGTCTCTAGAGACGGCTTCATGTCAAGGTCCTCAGATGACTAGATTGGACTTGGCAAATGAACGCCGAACAAGGGTGGACCTCGATCGCTTCATGACTTCGTGATCCTATGTGACTGATTCTGCTACCTAGTTGACCTTTGATTTACCGTACCCCTGTTTATTAAGTACTGGTGAGTCCATGAATTTCTCTATCATCGAATTAGTATGGAGTCTTCGCTGAAATTCTAAAGAGATTTCAGGAGCTGGGAAGCCAGCTTACGACACCAAAATGCCTATGCTGGCTTTTGAGAAGCTCCCAGGCTCTCAGCTCCCAAAGAAGAAATATCGATTCGGTATCGAATAAACCTACCAAAATCGTGCACCAGCAGTGCATTCCTTCGACTTGTCTCTACTTCATCCGCGCCTCTCTTAACCAACTCAGCGTTGTATTCCTCAATCGCCACACCCTTCGTCCTTGTCCCATTCTTGATATCTAATACAGCCTTGATGAAGTTATGCGCGTCTGCAATGCCGTGGTTGAGTCCTGTTTATCGTTAGCTAATGACCGTTCTTTCCCCGATTCGTACAATGAAAACTCACCTTGGCCTCGATGAGGCGGGACTGGGTGCGCACTGTCTCCTGCCAACGTAAGGGTACCGTGTTGGCTGTCCCACTCAATGGTTGGCCAGTATGATACAGAGCTATAAGTCACGTCTGTGTCGTCTGGGATCCACAAAAGGGAGGATTTCCAAGGCTCAGCAAGGTGAGCTGCAACCTCTTTGAGCTCTACGAGTCCTTTTGCACCGCCTTCGTGAGTTTTACCATCTGCAAGCCAGGTTGGCATGATCTGATATTGCCACGTTTCCGGTTTGTTAGCATCAGGAACATCTTGGACTGCCAAAAGTTAGCAGATCCTTCGGGGAAGTGGAGGTTCTCTTGCTTGATGTCCAGATTGATAGATTCTTCTCCGGATGTAGCGCTACGGAGTTCATAAAGTGAACGCTTCGCACAGCCTTGGACTTCTCGGCATCACCGTAGCAAACATTAAGATTGTACAAAACGACTTCCAAAGGAATAGCCCTGCCAGTTTCACCAGGTAATGCCAGTTGACGAACAGCTGATTGCGCCCCGTCTGTTCCAATGCATATGGAACCTGTAGCAGTAGTCCCATCGGCGAAGGTTCCGGTAACATCAGAAGGTGTGGAGGTTAGCGAAACGAGTTTTTTGCCATACTATATCCATACTGATCAGAAACTGAGACATCTATGGCCGAAAATGAACGAGGCACTTACCAGAATGTCGATGCCCTCGGCGCAGAGGGCACGCATTTTCCTCCTCGAAACTCGAATGGCGTTGACCATTGGGATATCTACAATGTGCTCTCCCGTCTTGGCGTTGTAGAAAGGGACAGCGTATCCCTTCGGGTTGGAAGTATCATAACTGGGATCCACTTGCGCTTCTCGGATCTTGTCAAGCAGTTCGTCTGGGAGCAACTCTTTCAGTAGAGGACGTGACCAATGAATGGACATTCCCCATTCTCGACTCCTTGGACGAGAGCTTGTAGATTCGGATTCAAAGATTGAGAAGCTGATGCCATTCTTTGCTCGCGTCAGCGGGGACTCGCGATGGATGAGTGGCAATCGATTTTATTGCCTTTCAACATACATTCTTAAGCCCTTGCGCAATCAGTAAACCGGTGACACCTACATGCGTTAGCTAAGCCTGCAGGAGTTTGCGCAGAGAATAAGCTCCTACCCGCCCCGATTATCATAACATGCAGATCCGGCTTTTCTTCCGATCCAGAAGACGCCATGTCTGGGAAGCCAGAGTTGAGAGCTCTTACTGCAGACACTTGCTCGATAGACCTAATTATCAATCCCCTGTGAGCGATGAGTGAACAGAACTTGAGATTTTGTTTGTTAATCACTAGGTGGGATATCAAGGATATTACGTAACGGTTCGCGCCGCCTCTGCAGACCCCCCACGTGACAATTTATCGTGGCCTTCGGTAGGCGTCGGACGAACTGTCAGATAACGGCCTTCTCGCAGATGATCAACTCAAACTCAAAGTCGCGACGCCCAGAGCAGACCTCATTTATGAGCTGCAAAGCGACGCGACGAGACCGACAGACATGGAGAAGAACAAGGTGGAGACGTCTTCGCCCCCGTGGCGTTGCGGTACAATGAGCCCTGAGCGCGCCAGCGACGATTCACCGCCGAACAACTCCACGGGATCCAGCCCCGGAAATGCCTCGCCGAGTCTAACTAGCGACCCTGGCGGTCTCAATCCAGTACAAGTGAGCACACCGTCTAATGAAAATGACGACGAGGTGGGCATGCTTTGCTTTGTTCATGTAACTGGAATGACTGATTATCTATCTAGGCTGCCTCGGATTTTGGGGGGCGTGAAGCCGACGGAGATTCGGCGTATGGAGGAGATGATTCAGCGTGAGTGAAATGTGAACACTTTAGCTACTTATTAATGCTGAAAGGAAAGAAATCGCTCGGAATACGCTTCCCTCCTCTCTGAAGCAAGAGACTATGTTTTTGAAAATGGCAGAAGGTCAGGTTTCCGGATCCTTTTGAGGTGAATCAGCCTAATATTTCTTAGGTACCATGGCTACAAAGAAGGCCGCTACATGTTACCAAACGATGAGGTATAATGACCCTTTCCACGTACGTCGAAATCATTGTTGACGAGTTTCATCAGACTGAGATGGATCGAGAAGACATGAAACATCACATTTCGATGTTGATCACAGAAGGTCGACTGCATTTGTAAGTACGACCCTATCTTGTATCCGAGCACTCGACGGTCTCTCTTAGGACACTGTGCTAGCTCTCCCGAAATAGTCTAGATCGGGGAATTTCTGACTCCTCGACTACACAGAGCGCCAATTGGGAACCATCCACAGCGTGTTGTTGATATAGGAACGGGAACAGGTATCTCCCCTTGAACAATCGGTAATTATCCTTTTGACAACGTGTAGGCATATGGGCTATCGAATTTGGTCAGTTTGTCTACCTTGTATTCGTAAACTTTACTAAACAGTAATGTGCAGCGGACGCATATCCTTCGGCTCAAGTACAAACGTCAATTTGAGTATACCGATCCAATGGCTAATTTACTCAGGTGATTGCAACGGATCTAAGTCCAATTCAACCCACCTGGTAGGTCAGTTCAGTTAATTGTATGAGAAGACATGAAGAGCCGACGAGGCCCATGATTATCAAACGGAGAACCTTGGAAATGCTAATTTGGTTAGGGTTCCTCCAAATCTCAATTTTGAAATAGATGATGCCGAAGACGAATGGCTCTACAAAACAGACAGTCTTGATTTTGTCCATTGCCGCTATTTATTTCATGGCATCCGTAATTGGCCAAAACTTCTCGATCAAGCAATGCGGTATGTAGTGGTCACATTACTTTTTTTTTTTTGTGACCTGCTAATTGCGTGGCTAAAGGGCTCTCAAGCCGGGTGGCTGGATTGAGATTGTTGAAATGCATGTGATTCCAACGTCATATGATAATTCATTGCCTGCGAATTCTCAGATCCAGGCTTTCTACGACGTCTTGGCTGAAGTTGGGCAGGGCATTGGCATTGACCTGGCTGTCGCGCAAAAGTTTCAGGGGATGCTCGAAAAAGCAGGATATGAAGAAGTTACCGAGACTGTCTTTGATTTGCCCCTCGGTGGCTGGATGCCTGATAGAAGGATGCGCGAGGTTGGATTGTTCCAGCAATATCAGATGACGGAAGGGATCCACGGTATTGCGTTTGGCCTGCTCACCCGTGTTGCCAAGTGGGATCCCGTAAAGGTTGAGGTTTTCCTCGCTGCTGTGCGGCGAGAGATGAGAGATCCAGCTGTTCATTCGCAATATTACTTGTATTTTGTTTACGGGAGGAAGCCTCAATAGGAAATATCAGCAGCTTTGTAATTGCTGTATCATAGCGACTGTGGGGTCAAGTGAAGTGTGTGCCAGCGTTCAGAGTGCTTCTGCCAGCCTCGAGATTTTATCCCTAAAAATTTTAACAAAACCCCTGCACCCTACGCGCCGGCAGAACAACGACTCAGGAAAGGATATAGCCACTTCCTCCCAAACCAAACCCCAGCATACAGCACCCCTGCCAATGCAGGCCATGCCAGCAAGCTCTTGGTTGTCAAAATGGTTTTCGCACTCATTATGGCCCTCTAATCATTCATACGAGGAAAAAGAACATTCGGCGCCGGCTTCCCTAAGAAAGCAGCAAGAGGCTTCCGTCCTTCTTCCGCTTGCCACTCCAGAACCTTTCTCGCTCGCTTCCCTGCCTCAGCTCTCACCCACTGATCGTGCATGGCATAAGTTTCGAGAGTCAACGGGTTGTTTGTGTCTAGCCCAGCACTTTCGCGCAAAAACTTTCATAGTTTCATAAATTGCCTACTAGTACAGCCGGTCCCGTCTTAATGAGAAAACCGTTTGCCAGATACGTCTTGCGGTGGAGATATTGCAGCGAATTGCTCACTGACAGCCCACACCTCTCCTAAGGCTCGCTGATTCAAGATAATTCGGGCGGTTGGAAACATATCCATAAGGTCGTCAACAAACACCAATCCAGGAAAGTCCCGGGTGGCTCCATAGCGATCAAATAATTTATGGAGCACTGCAGAATTATCTGTGGTAGTTCGCGTTCCTCCTTCCGCGCTGCGTCGATAACAAACTGAAGCCGCTCAGGGTAGGGCATAATGTATCCTTTCAGTCATCGAATTATCATGGGTAACTCCCGAATTGCAAGAGGGGGCGAAAGAGTCAGGGGGCGGAACTCCAAAGACAAGTGAGCATGCAGGCTCTTGTTAAGCTCCCGAGCTCCAAGCTGTCAAATAAAATAAAATAAACCCTTCCGTATGGAAATAAGATTATCCATATGCATCGTTGGTGAGAAGTATAGGTATGAAGACTCCAGGGCAGCCTGCAGAGAGCTTGTGGCGCATCTGGGGAGACCAGCAAAATGACCTCAAGGCGGCGATCGGTTTTCTTCTCCCCGTTACCATCTTTAGAGAGTCGAGCCATCGCTAAAACTGGTTTTGGAAATTGATTGAGCACAATGCAGGTTAAAAATTGAAGAAAAAGCCAATGGAGCTTCCTGGACGAAGGAGATATCGAACAAGGTGAGACTCTGAGAGCTATGTGTGAGATCGAGGTAGCCATCGCCTTCTTAGAACTTTATAGTGTATGGAAATTTCTCAGGGGTCCTCACGGAGCGCATATTTGCAGAAAATTAAAGCGTCACTTCCAGCTCATCGCGCATGTAGTTCATTGGTCACGTCGTAATTTCCACTGAGAATTCTCCTTCTTGGGAGAGGCCTAGAATAAAATGAAGATACCCATATATGTGTCATCCCTCCAATTACTGAACACTAGTTGAGTGCATTTCATCCACTATTTACAGCTAGCGAACGATGAGTTTCCAATTCGCGTTCAGAATGCTTATCCCCTCAGCCCTAAATGTGTCCGATTCTGTGTGACTTGTGATGTTCGCTTCCCAAACCATATTCATCGGACTTTCCACGCTGTAGGCAGGCCAAGCAGGCACAGTTGCATCCCTTCCCACCCACCGATTCGGATCAAGGTCATAGACGAAGCTTGCCCAAGACTTGCTCATCAAGCTGCTGAGCTGCGTGTAGCTCTCGCTCCTGTTAGAGAACGGATTGACGGTATATCCAAGGCCTTGAACATTATTGAAGACAAAGGCTACCTCGGTGAAATGCGTGGCTCCCTGAGGCCAGATGCTTGTGGCGGGCACCGCGTTGAATCGATAGCAGTAAGCGGGTACATTGGCTGAAGCCCAGGTATGGCAGGTCAGTCTTCTTCCTGCAATGAACATTTGGTCGCCAAAGTAGGCAGCACTGCGTCGAAACTGGGCACCGTATGGAGAGCCAAGCACGACATCGCCGCCCAGGGTTTGAGAACTTGGTATTCCTTTATTTGGATCAGAAGGATAGGCTTCCAATATCTCCTGCACAATGTCCCCCGGCCATGCATTTTGAGCAGATGTGGTGGCTGTGTGCGTTCAGCTAGAGTGTTCCACTTGTCAGATTTGAAGACTCACTGTTGAGATAGTAAACAAAGTCCGCCGTTTCGTTGATACCCAGGGGACTGAATGCAGTTCCTTCATCCGTATTTGCCCCAGATATCACGGGGACATGAACGAAAGATCCATCTGCCAGCTGCTCACTACCAAGCCTGGCGATGAAGTCGCCATCGAAAGCAGGGCCCCATCCGCTGTTGAACTCGGTTTTGTTGAGGACATTATTTAAAACAAAGAGAGGAAGTCTTCGGAGGCAGTCTAAAGAGTCGGTAGAATTGCTGCATCCGGCAGCTGCCACAAGAAGCGCATACCTAGGTTGGTACCAGTCTGATCCATTGGTTGCCGAAGAATAGACAGGGTTGCCAGACTCCATTATCCCTGCTCGAAAAAGCTTATCGTCTCGACCGTTAAATGCAACCAGGTGAAAGCCAACACTCAGAGCTCCTGCACTTTCACCCCAGATGGTAACTTTGGAGGGATCGCCTGTTTCGGTCAGCGGGTGGTTCATCGTTCCTGCCATTTACATACCTCCAAAACCAGCGATATTCTCTTGAATCCAATGAAGTGCCAACCTCTGGTCCTTGAGTCCAAGATTGGCCACACCTGCTCTTGCAACATCATTTCCATTCAAGAACCCGAAAGGACCAAGTCGATAGGCGATGCTGGCGGCAATAATCGGCTTTCCGATGTTGACGGAATTTTGAACAATGAAGGATAAATTGTATCGTAGATCAGGCGCCCCCCCATCAAAAAACCCACCACCTACATATCTGTCAGTCTCTGGTTACAGCAGAGGAGGCACACTGACCATGGATCCAGACAGCGACCGGCAGACTCGTGTTCTCGTAGCCGGATGGCCGCACCACATTCAGATACAAGCAGTCCTCACTCTGAAGCGGATCGTTAGCTGTATGCCAATTCGGATTAAAGCTCAACTTACTTGCTGGTACCCCACTTGATCACCACCATAGCCAATACATTCCTGTCTCTCTTAGTAATTGCCCGGTCAGTAGCTAAGTGACTCACATATGCGTAGTTTGTCGCCGGAAGCACTCCAGTCCAGGCCCAATTCAATGGCTGAGGATTTGCAAATCGAAGCTCCTCCAAAGGCGGCTGTGCAAATGGGATTCCGAGAAAGTAGTCTTGAGCATACGTCGAGGAGTGCGAGCCGTAATATGAGCCGTTGCGGATTGTTACAATAGGTGCTTGCCCAGATGAGGTGGATTGGTTCCTTGAGACTATTGGGTTGGCGCTGATTGCTGAAGCCAGGAAGGTGAGAGTCAAGAGCGGAGGAAACATCATGAGAAGTTAGCTGGTTTGAAGCTCCAATTCAAAGAAATTGAGATATTTAAAGTTGTGGCATTGGAGTATTTATATCAGACCGCTTAACATCTTTATTTTCGGGCCCGTCCTCATTGAGTACGACTCACATTGCTATTGCGGGGCAGATCTCCACTTGAGAAGCCATGGAAGTCAAAGGCGGCAAATTTCATTGTGATGAAGAACCCTGTGCTTTCCTTTGCCCGAGGAGTCGCCATGATAGCGTCATGCAGGTAAGTTGTGGCGGTACAGATCCCACCCCAACTTCGGCCTCACTTCGGTATTGACCCTGAACGCTCAAGCCCGTGCAGGATGTCAACGCAAGGCCGAGGGCTGATCCCATCTCTTGGAATTCTCTCCGATTACTGGTGGAAGATTCTATCTGCAGGTTAAGACAGCAAAATATGAAATATGTGGGTTATAGAAGTAGGGAGACGTGCATGGAAAGCCAAACACACACGAGGAGAAGGCTAGGTTGCTTTAAATTGAAAACGAACCAGAGACCACGCGAACGGAGAAGAGTCGTAGACTCACTCGTTTGGTCGGAGAAGACCCAACATGTGGCCAAAAGGTAAGGCTTGGTTTTCGAACAACAGTATTAGGCAATGCAATCGAAAGCCGCCCGATAAAATGCACTTCCCAAATTTCCTCTCAGCATCTATAAGACTCCAGAATGAATTCCAGACGCGCCAAAATCTTTAAGCCACAGCTCTCCCGTGCCTGAGTTTCTTGGAGAGGGAATTCTTGATAGGTACTTCCGTGCCATTCATATCCATTGTGGAATCAGGAGGACTCTCGAGCATGTGGCTGGAATGTCGGTATAAGGGTTCAGTCCCACATTATCGAAGAATTTAATCATTTGAAAGAGTTGCTAAATACGGGGAACGAGGGAGTTAGCATTTTGCTCGATCCGGAGTGTTCTAGATAATATTGGGACATTGTCTCTATTCATGAGACGGACAGAGATGGGAAAGGGGTTTCTCCTCATGGCCTACCGGAGCGTTATCCCCATGATACCACTCGCAGACTATCCATCCATCGTGCTCGGAATTATCCACCTGTATGCCATTGGGTCCGTCATTATAGAAACTCCCAGAGCCATACCCGGCCATGATGGTAGTCGGTTTCCATCTGGAATATATCGAATCGGAAGGGAAGGCATTCAGAGAGAAGGGATATTGATTAACGTCAAATTGGAGGTGCGTTCCATTGAGGAAGGCTCAGGAAGTGGCATTGGGAGTGAAGACCGGATCTGCCTGGCCGGCACCAGTGTGATAAGTCTCGACTGGCAAGAGTCAGTGTCGCTCGAGTCCGCAAAGGATGGGATCATCACTCACTTGTCCACCCTTCGTAGGTTCTATACCCGTCCGTAACTACCATGCTGGGATAGAACTCTCGCGTGTTGTTCTGCGTACCAGGTACCCAAGTTTGTCTTCCTGTAATATCTGCTGCGAGGGAGGATACGAGGCCAATGATGGCAGATGCTGCAAGTGCAAACTTAAGAAGGAGTGCCATTGTATCTCCAGTACTGCCTGAACTGAATTGAACTTTTTTGAAAGCTCTGGTCTGCGTATGGATGCCGGGAGGGGGATTTGGGATGTGTTCGCTTCAGCGGAGGTTGACCTCCCTCTTATAGGGAACGCTTTCCATGCGAGGCATCTTTCGACAGCTGCTCCTACCTCGGGCAATGGCTTGTACCTAAGTGAAGTGGTGATGCAACTTGTGATCATCTGCCTCTTCTCGTATTACGGCCGCCGGCACTTTGGCAGAGATCTACACCTTCAAAGGTGGCACGAGATGTTAAGGCCATTTCAGATGTTGCACTGGTCAGCCGCTCCTGGAATTGGATGATCTGTGCTCGGTTGTAGCATCGTGGAATTCAATGCTTCTTCCGAGAAGGTCGTGGAACATGAGGCTTGACTGCGACGTCAAAAACACGAGGTTTTGTAGAACGGGAAGTGGTCGGGACTCGGAAGATTCCCAAGAGCAAGCCGAACAGGGCTAGCCTGAACTAGATAAGGCCGATTTACTCGAGTACGAGAGGGAAAGACTAAAACGACCCCCCCCACGGTGTCGATTGGGAGCAGGCTAGGCGCTCGGACAGGAACACCAAAACTCTGGCTTTTTCTTCATTTTAATTTAACTCTGTAATAAATTAATATAATTTAATACTTGTTTTATTTTCTTATAGCGCTAATTAAACGCTATTTAAATATAAACTTTTTATAAACTTTGGATTAGTAATAGCTCTTTGAATTAAATAAGTTAAAAGTTTTATATTTTATAGCCTATAGATAAGCTTAAGTAAGCCTAGAAATTTAGCGTAAAAGTCCCTAAAACCAGATCTAAGAGCTCTATAAGACTATAATTTATAAGGCCTTATAGGGCTCAAAAACTAAAACTTAATAAATTAGTATATAGACTTCCTAAAATTAAAATATTATTTTAAGGAATCTTTTTATTATAAATTAGAGAGCACGTGATTATAATACAGGGGTTATAATATACTAGCTTAGACTTATATTGAAAAATCTAATTTCAGATTTTTAAAGAGCTCAGGTAGCCAATTAAATACCCCAGCCCCAATCGACACCCCTAATCGACACCGGGGGGGGGGGTCGTTTTAGTCTTTCCCGTACGAGATAACCTTATCTCTCTTAAACAGCCTCAACCGTTACTATTGACGAGATACTGTCCCACCAGCACTTTGGTCCGGAATAAAACGCATCGTGCTCTCCGGGCGTCGTGTGGTGCAAGTGAGCCAGGAAGGTCCAGCGTTGAAGAGTCGCAGCCTCCACGTACAATGTCCTCGAGGCCTCAGCTTTTCCCCACAAATTCTTATATCCGCCTTCCTGACTTCTACAGATGAAGGCATGCTCCGTAGCCCAAGCCCTGGTGAGATGCCAGCGACCACTAACTCGCAAAATTTGTGCGGAAATCGGTGCTAGAAGCAACCCTGTCTGCTTCCTCGCCCATGGGAACATTTCTGGTTCGGTGTTGATTGTGCGGCAGTGTCTTCATATTTTTGGTGAATGTAAGATTATCACCACAAAAAAAAACGCTGCCGCACCTGCGCCCCAGATGCGGCTAGCGCGCACATCCCTCACCGCCCGAGTGAAGCGTACGCCCGATCGCAAGGCCCCTTTGATTAATTATTACGATAATAACGAGCATTTTTCTTGTAGAAAAAATTAGTAGAGTTATAGTATAATGTACTAATAGTAGCTCCTCGTTCTCCATTCAAGGAAACACCTCGTTGCGGGCGAGTTATCTCAAATAATAATAATAAACTACTACTTACCCCGCTATTGAAAACGCTGCCGCGAGCGGCAGCGTTTTTAAGAAAATTGGGGGCAGTTTCCTTATTCAGAACAAGTAATTTGGGTAATAAGAGAGAGAGGCTAACTAATAAGGATATTGATTGCTTGCTAATTAATTGCCTATTAAGTAATCTCCTTACTTCCTTTATTACTATATTACTGGAGAATGCTTGTTGTATTCGGGAATAGCCTGTGCCAGTGAGGAATACATATTATATTCGGGAATAGCCTATGCCACTAGGGAATACATATTATATTCGGGAATGGCCTATGCCACTGGAGAATGCTTGTTGTATTCGGGAATGGCCTATGCTACTGGGGAATGCATATTATATTTGGGAATAGCCTATGCCACTGGGGAATGCATATTATATTCGGGAATAGCCTGTGCCAGTGAGGAATGCATATTATATTCGGGAATAGCCTGTGCCAGTGAGGAATAAGCCAGAAAAGATCCTTTAGTTACTTCCCTTTACTTATATAACTTATAATTAAAAATGTACTTGGGACTCCAGAGCTAAATTAGCTGACTATGCGGGTCGAGTACAGTTTGACAGTTATTATTACTAGTGAGGAATATATGGCCATTCCCAAATGGGCTTTTCCAGTGAGGAATTTAGCTAGTCACGTGCACCGGCAGAAAAAAACGCTGCGTCCTGGCAGCGTTTATTTTCGGAATGAATACAGAAGCAAAAATAAAGACGCTCTACCATTTCGAGCTGGCCAGGTAGCCCTTTGCCCATTTGTTTTCTTTTGTCGTTGCCTTCAGTTGGTCTAAGCTTTGATACCGCAAGGGGCTTACTTCATGGCCTTCTTTGGCCCATTCTCGCCCACTGATAAGTTGAGCGATTAGCATCACTCTCTTCCCCCACAATCGACCCTGCCAATGGCACCCCGGTCGATTTCAAGGGTCGCAGCAGGGCTGCGTCACCTATGGCAGGTCAGAGTAACTGGCATGCACTTTGCAGATCCCAGATCTTACTTCCAAAACGGGTGGAATGCGAAGACAAGATTTTACTTCCATGCTACAAAGTATCGCCCTGCACTGTACAAACCAAACGGGGAAGCGCCGTTCTAAATATGAAGCCATCAAAAATGTCGACTTCGAACCGCCCATTGCGACTAGGGACAATCTCCACGAGGCCGACCCAGAATTTGGTATCCATAATCATTAATATGTCGGCCAAATTCTACAGGTATATCATTTGGCACTTTTCTCATAGCGTTATGACTGACCATGGCTGTAGCATGGCGTGTCCAATTAGATATTGGATCTTTGCCGTTTTTGTATCCCCCTTTCTCTGTTCTCTGCTTTGTGTCGGTGCGACTCTGTGCCTGGTTCTCAATCCGTCGGCGCAACGCTCCTAGCCAAAGGACGCTCAACCTCCGCACAGGCAATCTAACAGTTCCCAACTACACCCTCGGGCTTGTCTACGCCAGCAACGAGATTACATTTGCCAGAATCAGACGGGGCAAATTTTGTCATCTTAAATACATCGATGTTCGCGCCAAACCCTGGCCCGTGAGATCACGCTGCCTGCAACATTCTTCCATAGCTATTTCCCTGTGGGTGGGCTCGCTATTACTCGTGAGAAGGGGATTGTATACGTGTGCACTGGTCCAGGTCGGCCGCAGTCGACGTTTGCAAGGCAAGCTCTGGCTACGCGGATTCGATCACACAGTTTTTGAATGGCACCCTGAAACACAACGCTACTCACGCAACGATCTCCACTGATAATAAATATGTGTTTGTGAGCCAGGAATCCACAAGCAACACCACCTTCCGTGGGGCAGTTGAGGTCTCCCGTGTCCACCGATGCAAGCTGCTACGGGGCCCGAGTTGCAGTCTCCCCGATAGGAAGCAAGTCTGGGTTACTGAAAGAGAGAACAATACGCTCCTCGCGTTTGATCTTATAAAAATGGAGACGGACCACTTAAACGCCCTTCTCGTCGCCGTTCAAATGGGTACTTCTCCTGTCGGCCTCAGGTTCGTCAACAATGGGCGCCATATGGTGACCACAAACTGGAACCGGTTCAACTATACCAACACAGCCAATGTCCTCAGAGTAGTGAACATTGAAGCTGCTCTGAACGTCAAACGAAGTTTTCTCAGGATACCAAGGAGATTACTCCTACTTGAACCTGCAATCTGTCTAGACGGAATGCTCCTGGTTTTCTTTTACAATTTGATAGCAAGGCTATTCAAAGCGTCGATATTGATCATCTATCTTGGGATATGGGACCGGATGGATATCATTAGACTGCCTGATAGCTATTACCAACTCTCAATAACATCAGAGATCTTGTTTCGGAGCTGAAAGAAGATTACTTATTTCTCATCGCGTCTCACAATTTCAGCTAAGGTTTGACAGTACGCTGGCACGGCTTGGTCAGGCCGGTCACTCTTCCAATTTGAGTCCGCGGCTAGCCCAACAAGCATGCGATATCAAATCGGATCGTGTTCTTTTTCGGGTTTTGTACAGTCCGGGCAGATTTCAAAGCAAAAGATTGGGGTGTTGGGGCAATTGGGGAAGGCCATCCAAAAGTTCCCGAGCGACATGAAGGAGATTGACAACACGGGCGCACAGAGACGCATTTCTCGCGCATGAGTACTCAAAACGGCTAGACTGGGAACTCTCTTTACCAACTAGAAACCATCCGCATCTCATGATGCGTGAAACTTTTCGGATGAGTCTGCACAGACGTAGATCTCACACAATCCCAGGCTTACATTCAAATCTTGGCGGAAGAAACGTTGTTTCATGACCGCTCGGGAGAACTTGAGATGCCATGCTTCCATCAACACAAGTGTTCTCCGTCTATGCTCGGCATAATCTCATCCTCTTTTGGGCTGGAGTCGCTCGCCTATTCAAGCTTTCACGCATCCATCCGGTCTTGCGATGAAGCGCAATGCCTTCCGCAGGCGGGATATATATCACGAAATCGAGCCAGAAAGTAATTCTGCATATCTTCCAGTGTGTCAAATGAATAGAGTAAAATAGAATAATGGCCATTACTCTTATTTTAGTCAAGTATAAAACCCGTTACTCTTATTTTATTCATATATTATTAAAGTTATTCATGAATATTCATGAATAACTTGAATAACGCACGTGATCTATACACGTGATAGAGCTAGCCTAGTCAGGTAAGACTCCGGGAGGGCACGCACCTAGCGCCACCTCACCACCCAATCAGGTAGTAATGGCGCTTGGTAAGCGAATCGAACCTTAGTAATACTTCTAGTTTATTATTATAGAAAATTAGTATTTAAGTACCCTTATATAAGTACTAGCTTACCTTATATAAGGCTGCTTAATAGGTATCTTAGTTCTTTTTTAAAAATTTAAATATATATTAATTTATTGCAACCACGTGACTTGTGTGATTATTCATGGTTATTCATGGTTATTCATGAATAATTATTCTATTTTACTCAACTTATTTAAGCTACTCGTTACTCATATTTTATTCAAGTTATTCATGAATATTCATGAATAACTTGAATAACTTGAATAATCCTTTGACACACTGATATCTTCAAGTCACTCTTTTGCAACTCTCCTTTCTAACCAATTCAATCTGTTTCAAGATAGTACTTTGTAATCCAACTCCGACAATAATGCATTCTTCGTTCTTTCCCTTGGCATTTGCCACCATAGCCAATGGCCATGGAATCATCACTTCTCCTACCGCACGTTCAGCTGGGGCTGCCATGAAAGCAGTCTGCGGTCAGCAAGTCACCGACAACCTCCAATCAAATGAGTACGGAGACATCCAGCAACTCATCGAAATCGGTGCCTCACAGAAGGATTTTCACCCCGCTTCATGCGACGTCAGCCTTTGCAAGGGCCTGCAGTTCGACGACAACTCTGCCAACATTCAGAACTTCACCGCCGGCCAGGTGGTTCCTATCAAAGTCGATATTCAAGCCAAGCATACCGGTACAGCGAATGTCTCCATCGTCGATACGGCGTCGAACACGATGATAAGCAAGCAACTCATCTACTTTCCAGTATATGCGAGTACAGCGACAGATATTCCAAAGAACCAGACACAATTCAACATCACAATGCCTGACGTCAGTTCACAATGCTCGACCGCGGGCGTCTGTGTTGTTCAATGGTTCTGGGACTCCAGGGAATCCGACCAAACCTACATAAGCTGTATTGACTTTATAATGTGATGGGAGAGGGCAGGAAGGAGTGAAAATATCGCGGCAGGCGAGCGGAGCATTTTCAAAGCCCTGTTTTTGTCTAAATTTTGTAATTTCCTTCGTCTACCTGTTTTTCGGGGCGGGGAGTAATGTGATAGTGTGAGAAGATACCCAGGGTGCATGCGAATAATTAATTTTGTCATTTCTCTCTCGTCCCCTCCATAGACTTTCTATTATCAAATGGCATTTGTCAGATCCTTTTCCATGAAAGTTATTACAGTACCAATGTTATCATGGCTCATCTCTCCACTCATCCACGCCGGATTTCCTTAAACAACAACTGATTCGCCTATGAGGCGGGTGTTGACTTCAATGTCTGCCATAATGAAGTACAACTCAAAAAAATTCAACCAAGTAACCAGAAAGGAGACGAAAGCAGTAATATAAGAAGTCAACGCCTCATATATTATAACCCTTTTTATGGGATATCGGCGATACCTGGTGAACATTTTTGATTGTGCTTATCTTGAGATACGATTGACTTGGTTGAAACGAAGTGCGTACAGTCATTGATATCAACTTGGAAGAAAGGAAAGATTGCTGGCAACCCTATTGGGTCTGCAGCATAGAACTGTTTGCCGCTAGCGTTTGACAGTGTGTCAAAAAAAAATCAAGGCTAATTAATTATAATTAACTATAGTTAATTATAGTTGATTATGATTTGATTCAGCAAATTTTGACTTGATTTGATTTGATTATGATTATAATTAATTATAATTAACTATAATCATTACGTGATACTAAGAAAACTTGAATTTCTCAAGTAACTTAAAAGATTATTAAATAACTAACGGCTATATTAATAAGGTATAAACAAAACTTATAGAATATATATAAGAGTATAAAGCTAGTCTAAATCGGGTGTAAAAAACTGGTTATCTTTCTTAGAAACCTCTTCTTTATCTTTTTTATCCTTATTTATCCTTTTTTATTTCTCCCTATTTTGAGGGATATTAAAGTTAATTAAAGATTATTGAGACATTTTCGAATATATCGAGTAAAAACAAGTAAGTTTATAGTCGAAATCTTCTTAATTGGAGCTATAATTGTTGAGATATTTATATATAAAGTAAAGGGAGAAGAAAGCAACCTGAGGAAAATCACTTATTTATATGTAAATCCTCTAGAATCTAGAAGATTATTTAATAAGCGTCTAATTAGATAAAACCCTCTAATTTTAAAGCGTCTATTTGTAAGAGACCCTATTTTTAGCTAATTTATTTATAATAATAAGATTTATAAGGTGGCGAAGAATTACTAGAAAATCGAGGAGGTTTTAGCGCCTTCGGCTCGCGCCGCTTCGCTTACCAAGCAGCGCGATACCCGATTTAGTAAGGAGCGCCTTAAGCGATACCGGATACGGACTAGCCTAAGCCTAATTTTAGCCTTATCTCGCCTTCGAACCTCCGAGCGCACGTGTACGCTCACGTGACTAAATAATTAACTATAATCAACTATAGTTAATTATAGTTGATTATGATTTGATTAAGTAGATTTTGACTTGATTTGATTTGATTCAGAGGCTATAATCAAATCAAACTAAATCATTTGACACACTGGCGTTTGACGATCTCTCTCTTGGCTGTGGCGCAACACGTCCTCATTACATCACATCACAACACTTCACGAAACTGTCGAGGTTCACGGTGCTTGGTCTCCACCTCAGTATTTTCCATTTTGATCACTTCAAGTTCAGTTGCCCGGTCTCCAACCGCATTTTCACTGATCGAAATCCCCGGGACTCCACAACATCACATCCCTGAAAATGACAGCCGAACGACTCCTCAAACCTTGAAAACCACGGCCGCAAAAGGCCTATATCATCAAAAACGCCAACCTCTGCGACCCTGTCTCTGGCACCATTTTCCCCAATTGTACCGTCAAAATCTCATCCGGGGTGATCATCTCGTCACAACACATGGAAAATGCTTACATCTTTGTCCCCTCGACTTTTTGTTTTGGAATAGATCTTCTGGGTCTTCTCGGTATTGCACAAACGAAAGAGTTTGCATTGAGAGCGCAGGTCTTGAGTCCGAAGGCAATCCTACAAAGTGCCACCATCAATCCAGCTCGGAAGTTTGGACTGTCGGACTTTTTGGGTCAGATCAAGGCCAACTTTGCTGCTGATATGCTCATTCTGAATGAGCATCCGTTTGACAATACCTCTATATTTGACAATCCAGAAAATAATTTCTTAGCTGTGATCAAAGAGGGGAGAGTATTTCATAGCCTTTCGTCGAAATTGCCGCAGGATGCTGTGGATTCGGACATTCGATGCGTATGATTGAGTAACGAGGGTCCGACGGTCAAACTACATATGAACTTGGAGGTTTTAATTCTAGAACAAATCGAGGGAATTTTCGTTGAGAGTTTTTCTCAAATGTTCCACGTTGACTTGGGAGATCGAGAATTTAGTGCCGCTTTTTATGCCCACCGCGAGTGCTCAGCCAGTTTCTCCGCGCCTAGCCTCGCCTGGTGCGCTTACACACTATGATTAGTCATCTTCATGAACATTACAAATTCGATATACTTCTGCTGACGGTTCTTTGCTCTACTCGAAATGATTGTCAATATACAATACGCGGTCAAACCACCTCAGATCTGGCTTCAGCACTGTACGTGACCATATATGCAAATCATTAGCCATTGCCTGCTTTCGGGATAGTGTGCGTTGTGGCAAGTAATGTCGAGCTGCTATACGTTCCTGACCACGTACATCCCATCACACACCCTGGGACAAGACTTCGTACCGTCTATAGCGCCATGCGGCCTTCTCGAGAGGGAACGAAATTCGAATTCGTTGTGTCGACTCCGTCTCACAACGCAGCTGCACAAAAGAACACTCAGCAACTAGTGCGAAAACATGTTATGCGTCCTTGGAAAAGGCGGAAACCTCCCCCACGGACAGTTATATTACAGGATGAGGATTTGGCTGAATATCTTGCCCAAAGACAGCGTCATCGTAAGGCATCGGCTCTGGCTTATTTTAGATACTTTACTCACAAGCTCATTCAGTGGACAGCACCTCCTCTTCTTCCTCTTCTTCCGCATCACCCGCTCCTCCGATACCCGAGCCTTCGGGGGCTTTACTCATGGTACCCACAGGCTCGCCCTCGATTGCTGCAGCCCTGCTTGGAGCTTCACGTTCGAACCCATTTGGAAGATATCCGATCAACATGAGCAGTAGAGAACTTGAGCTGGTGCATCATAGTAAGTTGTTGTGACCGATCTCTGCTCTGTTCACTCTTTTGCGAATTAATGCGACAAGACTGACTTCGTGTGATCTAAGTTTGGGCTTCCGGCCAGGTCGCTTTCCAGCCCTTCAGAAATTACTGGTTCTCACTGGGAATGGTTGATCCCGCTGCGATGCATCTCGTAATTGCAAACGCAGCAATGCACCGGAAAACTTTGCGTACCATTCCAAGCCCAGAAGACGATATTGTTGAATTGACTCATGTACAAGCTGCCATGACATCTGTCAATCAGCGAATTAGAAATGTCAATCAGAAAGTTACGGATGAAATGTTAGGAGCTATTCTCGGGGTCCGTAGAGCCATGCTCAGGCAGATTTACGTCCGGCTAACTTGATAAAGCTGATGTGTCACGCTGTTAGCCATAACTGTCCCGTAATGATTCCTGCTGACTTGGTCTTTAGTTTATTGCTCTCCGGTTCGACCATTTTACTCGGCACTTTGCCGGATTTCAGATCATGTTAGACCTTCGTGGAGGTCTGCTGTCAATAGAGTCTGCCACTTACATCAGACTATCATTGTTCTGGATTGAGCTCAATGCCTGCGCTGCTCAAGACACTATTCCTCGCTTTTCACCTCCGTTCCACGTCATCAAAAACCCGTATTCGGCTGTTCACATTTCCCGTGGTTTGCAGCATCGAGACAAGGCCTTGCAGGTTAGCGGAGTTCCCTCCCTTCTGTCATCAGTCGAAATACTGGATGCATTCACTGGGCTCAGTTTCTTGATCGCGGCGTTGACGGTGGAGCCTCCGCTAAGGATTCAGTGGGATGATGATAACTTCCCCGGATTTGGTTTTTATCCCACTCTCCATAGACTGCTGACTATCCAAGCAGCCGCTAAAGGGAAACCCCCCGCGGATGCTGTGCAAGAAATGTGCAGACTGGGTGCCATTTTCTTTCTTGCTGAAGTTAGAAGGAAATTTGGTATAGCACCCGTTGTGACCAATGTGCAAGCTACAAAACTACACAACCTTCTCGATGGCAATGAAATGCTCTGGGTTGAGGAGCTAGACAGTGTCCGCACGTGGACTATTATAATGGCTGGCTGTGCCGCCGACAATGAAGCAGACCGTGCTTGGGCCGTGAAAGCGTTATTACGGTCCAGAGTGTCACTGGTATATCGAAACTGGGATGAAGTCATGGACGTAATTTCTGAGATGTGGTGGATCGATGAAGTCTTCCAGTTGAAGTCTCAAGATTTGCTGTCTGAGTACTTGAAGCTGTTCATCGCACCATAGATTTCAAATAAAAGCTTTCTAACAGGTTTCCTATTGCTCCCTGATTCGCTAACTACGAACTTGAAAACGAAGTAATTTATTAAGTTGTCCAGCTACTCTCTAGCTTACCAGTTGTACTGGGTCTCATCGAATGATTGAAAGGTGCCAGATATGCTCTCCCGGGTCGCGTGGTCAAGCTTCGGCAGATGTCAGTAATGGACTAGCAATAGAAAAGGTATCTAAAGAATAAAAAGGGCATTACCTTCGACAGCATTCCATTTATGCTCTGCTCGACAGTAACGGGGGCTTTTTCCATTCCGACGGATGTCGCTCCCAGATTCCCCATGTCTGTCTGAACCCATCTATCATAACGCCAAAGTCAGTTTTGCCTTAACCAAAGCTCGGAAAGTACTTACCCAGGACTCATGACAAAAGCAGTAAGCTCGGGATTTTCAAAGTGGATCTTGCGAACCATGTAGTTTACTGCGACTTTCGACATGCCGTACGCAGTGGCGGGCAAAGGGAGAGATTCCATGTCGCCGAGGCTTGCTACCCCGCTAGAGAGGGCCATAAACATTGGATGTGACGAAGTCTTCAGCAGTGGCCACACAGCTTGGAAGAGGACAATAGTGCCAACTACATTGACCTCGAAATGTTCTCGAACTTCGCTAATGGGTGTAATTGTCGCCGGTCCGTAATATTTTGAGATGCCAGCATTTGCCACAACTGTATCAATCTTGTTGATGTTGTGTTGGGTTTGAAGAACATCGATGGCTTTCTCAGCTGAGGCGTCGTCGTTACTGTCGATGAACACAACAATAACTTTGCTGCCAGGCCCGGTTGAAAGCGACTCGAGCGATTTGGAAGACGAGTCAGATGGATTTCTGACACCAGCAACGACAACTGTGTTCGGTCGTTGTATAAGAGTTTCGAGCAACCCTCTACCCAGTCCTAAATCATGCAGTTAGTTTGGACTAATGATTTTGATATAGGCCGCGACATACCTCGATTCGCACCGGTTATGAGGTAAGTCTTCGTAGAATCCATTTTGAATAGATAAAACACAACAAAGGTTTGAGGATATTTGGAAAAAGCCAATGAGAGTCTTGGTAGTGAGGTTAAAGATTCAATCAAATGTTGGTGATGCGATTCGAATCTCTTTCTTGAGCAAGAAGGCTTGATTTATAGCTCACGAAAACTCGGTACAACCATGCAGATATGATTACACAGCTGCTTAGAAATATATTTGTTAGTATGCAGCTTTTCAAGGGCTTTTCAGCCAAAGCCAATTTGACGTCGTTCGTATATAACATTGAATCGTCGGCAGTATGCACCAGCCAACCCCATTTGCCAAATTGGGCTTGGTGCCTGCATTTCATTTCTCGCTTCTTCAGGGGTTGGCTCGCTAAACGTGGTCATTTTGAGGGCCCACCCCAATGAGTCTGCCATTAGCACGGCCGAAATGCAAGCAACAACCCCATTTACCACTTTGGGCTGAAGCCTTCTACCCAGCTCCAGCGGTTTTGGTGGCAACCATATTTGCCTTGTAAGCAACAATATTTCTCGGCCTGTATGCAAGGAGCTCAACAGGGAAGTGGCGCAAAGGCACTCCCGAGGTAGCGGATATGAAGGGACGAGCAAATACAGACAAGATTGTCTTCCGGTTTGTAATAAAAGGCCTACATTCCAACTCTCTTCTCTTTTGTTTTTCTACATAAGCCCTTCTCCCACAGAAACGCCATTGGAACACTTCAAAAGTTCGATACTTCGGTGCACTCAATACCTTTATTTCCCATTTCGATGTAAATTTGTACTTCATTATGACGTTTGCATTTTTTTCTTCTTTTCCAGTGATGAACCTGGAGGTTGTGCAAAACTTTTGAAGTGTTTATAACACAATTTCGTCCCAGCGAAACGGAATTGTAAGAGCGGCGCATTTATACCAGGGCATTGTACCAGCCTTCCACGCAGGATCTCGTGCCAAGATCTAAGTTCCAGCTCCTTCTTTGTAGGGGAAGAGAAGATTTGCCACCCACCGTGGGAGAAATGACGCACCGACGTCATAGAAGCTCGCCTCACCTTCGCCACTCTCGCCCACGAACGATGGTGCCCAAGCTTTACCGCATCACAGACCAATGAAACGCTTCCTCTTTTACTGTGGCAGAAATGAGAAAATGATGCAAAGTTGTTGCTTACCCTTTTAACTCGTTACTAAGCGAGGGAACCAATAATTCGGTCGTTACACGGCCTCATACAACTACATTACAAAGGTAAGCAGCGGAGATATGAATTGGCGAATGAGGGGACTCCTTTGTCATATTCGAATATTAAAAGTTTGCATATAGGGACAAGAGAAAGAGCTTCGAGGAACGGAATGTAACCTAACTAATGCTCTGTCTAACATCTAATTCTTAACAATGGTTTGCGTCAAAAGTCCTGTCATAGTTTGTGGTGCACTTTTCCTCCCACTACAAGTCGCTTTCTCCTTCTCACCCTCAACCTTCCTTGGCCTAGCATTCCCAGCTCCTCGGGCTTTATCCACAGACCCCACCATCCCCACCGCGCACTCAAAATTCAACTCCCTCGTCCAATGCGCCCTAGACACTGGAATCACTACCCGCAGCCCCTTCGACAACACCACCACCCCATTCTCCTTCGAGTTCTTCTTCGCCACCGATTCAACTCCCCTATACAAATACCACTACACGCCATCCTTCCTCTCCGATACCTCACTTGGCGTGAAAACCGCTGACGGAGACACGATTTACTGAATCGGGAGTTGCACGAAACTGCTTACTGTCTATGCGTTTTGGATCGCAGATGGAGATACTAAGTTCAATGAACCGATTACAAAGTATGTGCATGAGTTACTTGCTGCTAGTTACGATGGCAATGAAGATTCTGTGAAGAGGATTGCGTGGAGCGAGGTTACGATCGGTGCGTTGGTGAGCCATCTGGCTGGTCTTGGTCCTGATTCTATGTGCTTCATTCCCGTTCCCATTCAAATACAGCCATTAAGTTGTTGCTATAGATGACTGGGTTGTTATCTCCCGGGTCGACTTCCTCTTCTCAGAACTCGGCCTCCCACAGTTTAATCCAGACGAGACCCCCCCCCGGGTGGCACACCACCTCTCTGCTCTCGCTCACAGTTCCTCACTGGCTTCGCAACTTTCCCAAGCCTAGTGTACTGCAACTCAGCATTTCAGATTCTCTCATATGCATTAGAAACTATCAACGGTCAAGACTTCGGCAAGACGATGTCCGAAAAGATGTTCAAAGCTCTCAAACTTACACACACAAGCTAAGTCAAGCCCGATGATGCGCTGGGAGTGATTCCCGATGATACAAACACTACGCATTGGAGCTACGACCTCGGGGAGCTGTGGCCGTAAGTGAAATCTTTGTTCAAAGTGGTGTCTTGTACTGGGTTTCATGGTATAGAACAGGAGGCGTCTGGTCCAGCACCCACGACCTGTCCACCATCAGGCGTTCAATCCTCTCCTCTTCCGGCAGCTGGGTCGACTTTCACACCAGAGACGGAAAGCTCAGCGCCTATGCTAGCTAGCTGGTCCTTATCCCCGACTATGGCGTTGGGTTCGCCGTGCTCGCTGCCGGATTCTCGATAAATGTAGATGTACTTGTGGGACTTGCCGTTGATGCGTACTTCGACGCGTTAGAAGATGCCGCTAGATTGCAGGCCGCTCCGGTGTTGACGGGACAGTATGCGGTGAAAGGTGGGGAGGTGAACTCGAGTTTCTCGTCGACGAGCGAAGGGGGCAGCCTTGGATTGGGATTGGTGATGGATCAGCAACGGGACGGCATTTCCGGGGGTATTTCCGATCTTTATTTCTTTGGCGCAAGGGAACTTTGGCGGCAGAGTTGGGGATGCTTCGGAACGGTACTGTCTTGATCGACCCTGCAGATGCCAATGTTCGGCTGTACCCAACAACGCTGACAACTTCTATTTCCAGAGGGGACAGGGTGTCTTCTAGGGCTGTCTTTGGAGTTATCTCGAACGTCACGGATCCAGATCTGGTACCTGATTCGACTTCAGGGTGGATCATTGCGGATGCAACTGTGTATGGGAAGGCAGGAGCCGACGAGTTCATCTTTTCACTTGATGAGAAAGGGGGTGTTGAGAGTGTGGAGTATCCTTACACGCCGCAGACGTCTGCGAAGGTTTGATGGGATGGTAAATTTGAGAAGTTTAGGAGTAATAGTTGGGTTGGTTCAGACTTCTGATGTACGATGTAGATGAGAGAATGATCTACCACCTGATACTTGGGGAAACGGAAGTAACAAAAGACACATTTCTCTGACCCAAAATATACATATATACATTATGTTAAAGAACCCTATGTACTATCTCGTAACTCGTCGTCCACTCACTCATCAACTTGTAAATCCATCCCGTCTGGAGCGCCATCTGTATTCTCCTTCCGTTCCGTTCTCCGTTCTCCATTCGATCAAATATTACGATTTCCCCGCGGTTCTCACTGCTTTCATCCACTCCTCCTCCCCAAGATTATCCAATCCGTGTCTGACTATATCATATACCTGCCTCTCGCTCTCTGCACCAAAGAGTTTGCCTTCCATGGCTGTGAGGTATGCGACGCCTGCACGGACTAGAACCGCGTCGCCTTCGAAGACCATTACGTCCCACAGTCTTGTTGCATTATCCAAACTTAGGGATTCGGTGAAGAGGGATGTGAAGACGTCTTTGAGGTAGACATCATGGTTGAGGTTCAATTGGGGGGATGTGAGGTGTGTCTGTAGCCGAGGTGATTTGAGCTTCAGTGTTGATAAGAGGAGAGAGTATGCTCGTGATGTTGCGCCTGGGTCACCGGTATGGAAGGAGAGTGGTAAGGGTCGGTTGAGAATGTTGGAGAGTGCGCAGAAAGCAGATGAAGGTGTGGGCAGATTGAGAAGAAGCAAGGCGGCGATTGTCTGTAGTGTGTTAGATATGGAGAAAACCCAAGGAAGAGAGAATGCTTACACTTGTCCCGTGAATATATCCAACATCACTGCGGTACATGGCGTATGCTTTCAAAACATCCAATAGAGAGCTATGCAGCGGCCCATCCGGCTGAAAGATTTTCAACTCGGGATAGGTCTTCCGGACATCATGTTCAATCTTATTCAGCCAAGACTTCTTCATCTCCTCGTCTGCAGACAACTGGGAGCCCCTCTTGATCGTTGTCTCTAAAGCCTGCGCTCGACGAAGAGCAGCTGTGTATGAAGAGTCTGACAAACCGAGTTCGTTCCCAATTGCCTTCGTCCACACATCACCTCGACTCCTGGGAGCAATGCCCCTCCACCAGAGTTCTCTCGTTCGTTTCTGGCGTGTTGCCACATCCCAATTCGGTAGAACATGCTCTTCCCAGATCCGCAGCAGGGAACTGGCAGTGTCATCTCTGCAGGTAGTCTTTGCATTTCGTTCCGCCTCTTTCCTCTTTTCCGCTTCGGCGGCTTGTGCCATCATCCTCTGGTATTCCTTTAGATGTCGCTTCTCTTCGGCGGGATCTTTGGGAGGGAGCCAGGATGGACGTGTCCGAGACAGAACCGCTTCCTTCTCCTTCGATATTGGTAGAGGATCAATCATGATATCAGTCCTTCGCAGAGGTGGTAATTCAGCAATCGCAGACTTGACTCGGGGTTTGTCGATGGTAGGTCGATTTGTGCTGTTGAAACTCCTCCGCTGCCTTGGATCCCCCTGCTCTTCCGTGTCTGCATGTGCCTCCAATGCCTCCGTCAATGCTTTGGCTTCTTCGCTCAATTCTGACAGCGCAACTGTCCAACTCTTTGCTCGGCCCTTAGCGAAGGCATCGTGGCTGATTGGGAACTGGCCCATGCTCGCTCCGCGCTGCATCCCATTTCTCGGAGATTTTGGTGATCGTAATTCTCCCTGCTCAGCAGGTCTCGGTGATGTTCCATTGCCTAGGCCCTTGGTCTTGTCCTTCTGGGGTCTCTCCGGACTTGTGGATGTAGACGGGGGCGTGCTGAGGGTTCGTTGTTGAGGAGGCCGTGGTGAAATCGGGACGTTCTCGAGATAGCACTCATCCGGGACATCATCTCCATCATCCTCATCGCACTCCTTTTCCAACTCTTTTGCAGACTTTCTTTCCCGATTCGACTGCCAACTGCCCCTCCTTGTCTTCAGTGAACTTGTGGAGAGATTATAGCGCGGATTCATCGGTATATTCGGACTTGAACTGCGGTTTCGTTTCATTACTGGGAAAGATGTTGTATTCGGGCTACTGAAACCTCGCCGAGGCATGCCAGCTCCGTTAGGTATGGGCTGCAATCCCAAGCCAACGGACGTCGCGCTCTTGACCTGGCCTCGCAGGCTCGGATACGCGGGTCGAGGCTTTCCAGCGGTCAATTCCCTCTGTACTCGATTGCCGTGTGTGGTGGCCATCGGGATGCGCTTCCTCTGCTTTGCCGTCGTCCGCAGATCGCTGGCAAAGGTGGCATCGTAGGGGTTGATGGTCGTCTTCACGGCGAAGTCGCCAATCTCCGCCTCGGCCCTGGACTCGTCATCCAGGCCGATTTCCTCGAAATTGCCGACATCAGAGAGCACGGTGTTGTCATCAGACTGGTATGAGGAGTGGAAGGACGAGGATTTCGAGGACTTCGAAGAGGTGAGGTCGGGGGGAGAGCCGGGGATGGGCGAATGGATGCCCGCATCATGGAAAGTCATATTCGCATCTTCGAACGACGACGACGACGCCGGGGACGTCAGAGTTCGGTGTAGAGTCGCTATCTTGGCGGTTGTGGTGTTGTCCTTGGGATGAAAGGTCAATGTTTCAACGCGAGGTTCGGACGGCCCCTGAGTACCGGTAGCGGATGGGATGGGATTGGGGGCGTCGCAAAAGCCGCGCGACAGATTTGGGTGGGTGGGCGAGAGCGAACGTTTTGGGTTTCGACTATGAAATAAGAGTAAAACGACCGTGACCGTACTGGTAAGGGATATTAAACGTTATTGTCGGTCGGGGGGGTGCTGCAGAAGCTGTGTGAGGCATCAAAACGAGAGTGACGGTGAAGAAGGAGATGGAGAAGGAGAAGGAGTGAGTGAGTGAGTGGTGAAAACTGGATGTTGATTTCCTTCGTCGCTCCTTCCCTCCTCCGGGCCTTTCCAGGCTCCTGGCTCCTCCTGGTCCTGGGCCGAAAATAATGCTGGTGTGCTCTGGGCTTCTGGCGGCCTTCTCTCGCGCTTGTCCGCCGGCTCCCCTGGCTTCTCCTGAATTTGGCCGCGCCGGGATTGGCTCCAAGTCGTTCCAGGTGCTCACCACCGAAATGAGATGGGGCACAGCGAGATTTGATTGGGAGGGATAGGAGGGAGAGGAGGGAGAGAGATGTATAAATTAATTGTGCACGCTGCTGCGCAAGGAGTCCGTTCGTGCTAGAGGCGTGTTTAATTCTTGTCTTGCATCATCGACTAGACTTCGAGGGGGTGGGAGGGGGGTGGGAGGGGGGCCAGAGGAGAGGAGAGGGTGTTGGGTTCAACACGAAGCCGTGCGGGAGGTCAGCATAGTTATATTGACCTGACCTGCAAGTCCACGCTCGCAGCCTGTCGTCATGAACTACCTGGCTGGGCGGCCGTGAGGGTCAAGCATTTCTTGGTTTTTGCTTGTTGTCAGCGTCTTGCTCCCCACTTCTTTCAACCACCGGTGCGCTGGACCAACGGCAGCCAGGTAGCTTAACAGCCCTCAACAGCCTCTGAAACCGCCGACCTCTCACCGTCCTTCATTCATGGTGAAAGAGCAGGCGGCGTGCTGCAGGCCATGGCTTCGTGGCTGGGCGTGGCGTTGATCAAGAAAATCGGAAGCGGGGAGGCTGGACGATGGGCTGGGCTGGGATCTCCAGCTGAGGGGCAGGCAGAGGGGTTGGCAATTACGAGGCCAGGCCGGACAAGGCCTTGATGTCCCGAGTTGATCGAAACAATTGTTCTGGATTCCGAACTTCAATTGCAGATCGAAACATCTCGGGTGCTTCAAGTGAAGAATCGATGATAATCACGTGTCGGGACATTTTCCCAGCCTGGGGGGTTGGGATACTCCCGAATCTCACTCGACCAGCTCTCCAGTGAGCGACCCAAAAGGGCGACCAGCCGAAGTCAGCTTACAAGAAACAACACCGCCCTATCAATCCTGCATCGTCCATCCTCGTCGAAACCTTTATTGGCTGTCCCTTGCCTGGTCACGTCCAACCTCTTGGAAAGTTCTCACGGAGGTCCGTGGTTCATGCAACCTTTTCCTGTACAAAGAGATGTACTTATGTCGCGTTTTCTCGGACTCTCTCGCTGTTAGTTGGGGCTCGAAAGGCCGAAAAAGAGAGTGCTGACAATTGCGGCTCTTCATCATGGCTCCAGCATAAACCATTTTCGTCCCTAATGTTGATTTCCTTCTCAAAGTCTTATGATTTCATTCCGAGATCTTATCTCTATGGACTTAAACACTGTCTGTAAATAAAGTTCTTAGTGCTGAAGGCAAACATAAGCATTGTCATAAGTTACAAAGCATCCCTTTTTGCATTCGCTCTCACGTGACTTTGGATATAAACAGAGAACCTCCTCGAAGTCAACTATGTCTTCAGCTCCTATTCTACTCTTCCTCGGCTGTGAATCCAACATTGGAGCAAATGTAGCCGAAGCATTTATCGCTTAGGGATGCAACCTAGCTTTAGTCTCTAGGACAATTCCAGAGGAAGAAGGTACACCCACCGAGCGTCATATCAAGAGTCGACTTTTCAGGCGCGAGTGGTGTGCCAAAGATCTTTGAGGAGGCGCAAGAGAAGTTTGGAGGGCCGCCGAGCGCGGTGGTTTACAATTTTACAATTGAATATACAGTCCTTCCATTTACCAATCAAACATCTCGAAGTCTTCATCTCTGATGTGTCTACGCTCGCACCATCCCCTCCAACCAGACTCCTCCCCGCTTTCTTATATGCATCATTCTGCAACATTATTCTAGGTCTCGCATCCCGCCCCGTTGCCAACATTTCCCCCACCCTACCCCCGCACATCAAACACCCCCAACCTCACCTCGACATCTCACTCCCAAATCCTCACACCACACAGCAGTAAAAGTAAAGGTAGAGCTAAACACTCACGCCCCCCTCCTCGCCACCTCCCTATTCTCTTCATCTAATTCTCGTCCCACCTTCCTTCCCCTTCCTTCCGCAATCAACATTCATCTTCCCCTCCCCCTCCCAAATTGGAATCCCTAACCCAGTCTGTCTCCCAACCCCCCACCTCACTCACACCTCAACCCCCTAGCCACGCTCACATGTGACCATCGCCGGTACGGGATCGAGTTTTATTACGCGGATGAGAGGAAAGGGGATGGAATGGGGTGTCTACTATGCGGGGGAGGAAAGGAGTGGGCAGATGCGCGCTTGCGAAGATGGATATTTGGTTACTCAACGAAGTACCAGCTGGGTAGAGGGGACGAGGCCCTTGGAGGGCGAGGCGAAGTTCTTTGAGGGGTTTGGTTTATAGGGGCATTTCGTTTCCCGTTGTTGAGAAGTTACTGGGGCAGAGTGTTAGTACATTCACGAAGTGAAAGAAGTGAAGTGGAGGAGCAGGGTTTACGGCGGATTGAATTGTATGCAGTGTTGTCTCTACGGTTCCTTCTATCTTACAACAACAATCACCGTACATTAATAATGAACGGGTATCTCAATAACGAATCAACCACTCGCCTGAATAATGCCCTTCATCCCCGCAAAGCTATCCGCTTCCTTCCCCCTTAACTCGCAAATTTTCTCATCCAACCACTCAATCACCTTGCCGTACTTACTCTGCTTCTTTCTTAGCACATTTCGAAAGGCGTTTAGTGCCATGTATTCAACCTGCATTTTCTTGACCCCACACTGATACCCCACATTCCTCTTGTTCTTGCCTTTGCTCTTAACCAGCACATACGCCATCTCGATCGAATCTGTAATAGTCTTGATGAGCAACTTCGTGCCCGGCTGTTTCCCAACTGGGAGGCAGCGGGTATACGTCCACATTTTGGTTGCTGTCTCGAGGAAAGAGGTGTAGATGTTGGTGAGCACGGTGCTGGTGGAGTTGTAGGAGGTGTCGAGGTACATGGCGTGGGATTGGAGTTTGAATGAGTCTTGGAGGAAGTCGTCAGTTTCCACCCTGGCTATACCCATGGAACGACCCAAAAAAAAATTCTGTTGCGGGATGAGATAGAAGCAAGGATGTGGGGATGGGTGGAGAAGCAGGGCAAACCAGCTCGCAGGGCCGAAAGAAGGGCAAAAACGAAAGTAATGCAACATTAAAATTAACGAAGATCACCGCAAAAGTACCATTCAGTGCAAAGACCCTCTTCATTTCAAGGGGTAAAAAAGCAAAAACATACAACAGCAGGTATTCGCTGGTGGTCACCCACCCAACTACTAATCTGCCGATCTGAGGCTTGTGTATGGCAGAGCGGACGGGATGCCCATTTCTCCTCAGTCTGTGGTCGTACGTGACAGACATATCTACTATTTGGATACATAACCCTTCTCGGTGAAGTTGAAATTCGTTCCAGAAGGGAAGTGACGCAGGTCACATGACCCGAATCGTTTCTTTCGAAAACATGGAGGGTAAACGATAATGCGGATCAGAAGGACGCAATGGAGAATCTGAGGGCCTTGTAGAAGCTTGCGACAGCCAAATGTGTGTTTCAACACTTGTAGTTAACTAGAGCGCACGAGGAGCACGTGATTGTCCCGATATTGTTGGGATGCAGTGGAGCAGCGCGCTGGCACAGGACCTGATCCCAACCGCAATATCGCACTTTTAGCTCGCATGTGCAAAACTCGGTTGCGCAGTCATGGAAATTCGCGATTCAGACGACTCAAGCTCGGTATGTGGGGGATACGGGAGAGTCGTGTATCACATCCACTGTCCCATATCCGCGTCTCAGATCATCTTCGGAAATTTTCAGTGCGCTGTGTTACCACAAGATGAAGCCACCATAAGATTGCACCTTGGCAAATTTAAACGCACAATGAGAAACAAAGAAAAACTTGTGAAATAGCTTACTGAGGACCTTGCGATGAAACGCCTTCCCTGGCACCCTCGAGAATTCAACGGTCAAAGAGTCGGCGATTGCTTTTTTTCCCTTCGCGTCAGCACACTCGCACTTATTTCACATATCAAGGAAAAAGGAAGGGACGAACATATGTCTTTGCGTCGTTCGCGATCCCTGCTGAAATCTAATCTCTTTGTGTCGATGAAACTGCCGCAGAACGGGAAGCCTTGTTTCTCCACAAGTCGAGGGACCTTCTTCCCGTTGATGGTGACCTCGAAGTTCACAAGGGTTTTGTCCGGGTTGACGCGCACGCCGTAAGCCGGGAGGCCGTCGTGCATGATCTGCAGGAATTGTTTCGTGTGTGCTTTTTCGGTGCTAATGAGGAGGAAATCATCGATCTGTCTCATTAGCAGGCTTTGACCGGGCTGAAGAAAGTCGAGGTGATGGGCTTCGAGATCGGCGTAGAAGTAGTTGCAGAGAAGACTTGAGACAACCGAGCCCTGTGCGATGCCTTCCTTTTGGCGGTAGAACTTCTTGCCTATTTTTACCATGTTTTGCTGCACGTGTTGGGAGAGGAGGTTGAGGATTTCGTCCCGGTCGCGGAATTGGGCGACAATGTTTTCAACGAAGATTGTGTTCTTCTTGCCGACTGCTAATTCCAGCTCGAGGTTCTCTTCGAAGGTATTGAAATCATCGCGAGGCTTGGCGAGAGCTGTGAATTTTCTCATGGGCTTGGCTCTCGTGTCTTCACGATAATTTTCTCCCGGCTTCATTTCGAGGTGTTTGTTGATGCGATATTCGGATTCTGTGGCAAGAGAGGACATAAGTTGAAGTACTGCCGACTGGGGAATAGTATCGAAGGCAGCTTGCACATCAAGCTTAGCGAAGTACAGTGGCTTGGAGCCTGAGAGTTGAGATCTGAATTGCTTCAATCTGCCGTACATGTCGCCGACTGAACGGAGCGACGATCCAAAGCGGCCGGGACTCGACATCTGGACAAGTTAGCTATAATTAAGGGAAGTTTTATCTTTGCTTACAGCTTCCAGGGTGAAGACATTGTATACAGGAGCTAGAACAGAGTTGATACTAAAGCCGAGTGTCCTCTGTCCCGGTTTGAGAGCTCTCCGCTTCAGATTCATGATTGGTCTAACACCAGTCTCTTTGGGCTGCAATCGGACTTGAGCGAATCCCAATGATCGCGATTCTAGTGTATTGCGGGCTTTCTCGAGCTTGACTTCTTCGAACATGCTGGCTTTTAGTTTGGCGAGTGCTGGTTCGGCCAAAGATCGCCAGACGTCATGGCGAAAATAGAACAGACGGTACTTGTGCACTGATTCAGTGACATGAAAGTTGGCTCGGATAAGTGGAATGAGAATTGAGTCGAAGACGTAGTAGATGAATTCGTGGAATATCTCCCAGCGTTTGTTGGTATCTGCCTGGGAGAGCTTGTTACCAGCTGTGTTTGGTGGGCTAAGCCATTCTATGTCTGAAATCTGGAAATAGTCAGAGACGAATCTATTGTGGTTCGTGAAGCTTGCCTTCAAGCCTTGAGAGACCTCATGCAGCGAAAGGCTCTCGAATCTGCGGAGGCCAATAAAGCGATCGACGTTCTGAAGAAAGACTTTCTCGTTGTCTGTCTTGGTGCGTCCAGTACCCCAGAACTCGGAGGGGAGAAGACGAGAGAGTACTGCGCGACAGAATGCTGACACCATTGATGCGGATGTTGAGTGGTCTAGCATAGACTGTTTTCGAGGCGGTGCTTTGGTTGTGCTCGTAGCAATGGTAAGGGTTGATGGTGTGCTGTTCGGGATCTGGGTTTGGAATTTCGATACATCTGAACTCTGTACTGGTTTTGGTACATTGTGATTTGTTGCTTGCTCAAACACCTGCAAAGTCAGCAAGGCTTCATAAAGGTGGAGTGAAATTACCGGGCAATAGTGTTCAAGCAATTTCTTGTACGGACAACGAGCATGCTGGATCTGCAGCTTTCGGACCAGTTGCACGGCTTGCCCCCTCAACCTCTTGGGAATTTTGGGGTTCTCTGCTGATGAATATCTTGCATTAATCTCGTCTTCCCGAAGTGCGTAATCCTTGAATGGCTGGACCGTTTGGCGTGGATCCACATCGTCTGTGAATACATTGTGGAGCCCAAATTGTCGAGGAAAGATGTACATCGTCACGTGGGTGGTACTTCGATCGAGCAGAGGGTTCGCCTCCGCTCTATTGCTCTCCTTATTCGCTATTACTGTGGCATCTCTCAGTGGGTAGCGATTGAAAACATCTGAGATATCAGCAGAGAAGTAGTGGAGACTCGGGACTGCTCACGGATATGTCTTAAACCAAACCTCACGCCCCCTTGCTTATTCATCGCTGCTCGAGCATGCATCATTCTGTTTCGCACGAAAGAGATGTTCGAGGGACTTCTTGCTGTCTTCAGAGAGGGCTGGGGTTTTGCTGCCAATGGCTGAAGATCACCCAAAGGATGGCCTGCCTTGTCAGCTATTGAAATGCTTTCAACGCATAGCACTTACCACTCAATTGATGATATGAACCGCGCCCACTTCCAATAACCAAGAAGATCCCGCAATCGAGAAGTAAATCTATCATCGCCCTCTCCCCTTCCTTCCCCATCAAGGCCAGTACTTGCGGCCATGGATCGGCTTTGATTGAAGTCACGTGACTGTTGGGATGGACAGAAAGGACACCCGGAATCGCCGACGCTGCATTGTCCCCACGGTGTACAGAGCGTGCAGGAATATCCTTTTGAAAGCCTTGGCACAATAGATGCTTGACCCAGCCATTTGATGCACGGTCCTTGGAGAACAATAGCCAAATGACAAAGTCAACAACCTGAACGATGTTAGCCGATGTCTTACCACAATAGCATTCCATAACAATAGCAATCAAAAACATGTATAAAAGTGCCTACCTCCGATTGCGAAAATATCTCAACTCCAGTCAAGTTTGCAAAAAAGATAGAGTCATCTGCCTTTTGTGAGAATGTCGTCCATTGCTGCCACCTTTCTTGCTGCGAGACTCCCTTGTGCTTCGAGACTCCAACCAAGGTCTGATCGAGGTGTTTGCAGAGCTTCTGATCAGCCTCTGAATCGGGCCTCTTTCCGACAGACAGGATTTTCTTTCGGCGGACCTTGGAGCTTGGTGGGAGTTTCGAGATTAGGAACTCTCGGAGTGAGAGGACCTGCGGGTAGAACTGAGCAAGTAGAGCTTCCTTGACCACCGAACCCTTGCTGTTCGAAGGGTCGGAGATCCGTTGACGTTTGAGGTTACCTTCAACACGGTGATTCGGCCTCGACCTCTTTCTCTTGCCAGCCATCATGTGCACCTTGAACAAGTTGACTGCAAAAGTCGGTCCACGGGGTTCATGTGGGTGGGTATCAGATAGAAGGCATCCACCCGGAACTCGACTTCCAAACGCGTCTCGGCCACGGAACTGAGAGCCGGTGCGCCAGTAAGTTCCTGAATCGACGCAAACGGCCGAGGATGGCGCATAAAATGAAAGTTAGACGCGTCCTTGCGGGTTGGTGCGTGATGCAAGCATCCCTCTGCTGCTGGAAGATTGTTGGGGGAGACTTCTTGGCAAAGCCCTGGGTTGATGGAGCCTCCCTTGGGGGAGCCGAAAGTCGAAAATCAAGACACCCAATACTGACCCAATACTGACCCCAAACAGGAAATATCGACTCCTCCGATATCGACCCCTTGCGTCTATGTTTATCACAAATCCACGATCACGCCCCTGGTGCCCCAAGATAGATGGCCCATGCCGGGGAGGGGGGGGGGGGAGAGGGGGGTGCTATTAATGGAGACGCGCTTAAAGGATCAAATGGCGGAGCTTCATGCTGGATCTGGTGGATTGGCTTTTTGGCTTTAGCCGATAGCACGAGGATTGGCCCAGACAGCCTGCGGTGGCTGCAAGTGCGGCCATAGGCGACAACGTCCCGGTCGGCGGTGGAGATTGAGAAGCGACGGAGTCACGGAAGCAAGCCGAAGCCCAGCACACTACACACCTGCACTCTGCACAGGCAGGCCAAAAAGCAGGGTCAAAAGCAAGGTCAAAAGCAAGGCCAAAAGCAAGCCAAACGGGCTGCCAGGCAAGTAAGGTTAAGGTTACTGTACGGAGAGTACGGAGTACTGCGTATGCGTACAGTAGACTGGAGAAGCAAAAAGTGATCGATCTCCAAATCTCTCTCCACCTCCACCTACGCCCACGCCCACGCCAACCACGCCCAACACGTCCACACCCTCGCCCACGCCTCCGCGGTCCACCTCCTCCTCTCCCGCGTCAACTCCCCGACACCGACACCAACACCGACAACGACATCGACATCGACAACGACAACGACACCGCCCGTGCATTGCCTGCGAATACCCTCATCTTTGCTCCCTTCGAACCTTGCTGCGCACCCCTCGAAACACGTTCCTGCTGCCCTCTGGTCCTATCATTGGGCCTCAAGTGCAAACGTTGCTCGTACAGAAACCGCGACCCTGCACGGCCCTTGCGAATCAGCTCTGCCGACCACTCAGCACTGCCCACGACCTGATACGACCTGCATGGATCTCTGAAGAACTCATCGTCACACCAGCACGACCACCAGCAGTCAGTCAGCAGCCAGCACCCAAGCACCCAAGCACGCAAACGGGACTGGCGAGCATAAGCCTGACCGATGTTCAGGCATCATGGAGTCTGGTATCAACGCCGACCAGAACTTCTTCCTTCGCAATCAATACCTGCCGCCAACTTCACCTGAGCGGAATCCGCAGCACCAGCACCAGCACCATCACCAGCGCGTCTACGACCCTCCTCCTCTCGCCGACTTCGACCAGCAGCGATCGCCGCAATTGCCGCCAAAGCTGCCCTTCCTCACGGCCCAGAATCTGCAGGCGGTGACGGGGAATGGATACGTTGGCACTGTTGGAGACAGAAATGCGGATGAATTCTACAGAGAGTACCGTGGCGTGCAACAGTCGTCCAGCGGCTTCACCAACATGGCTGCCAGTGCAGAGTCCCGACCAGCAGCGTCGCCGCTGAGATCAAATGGGAATGGCACCACCCCGAAACATCCAACCATCCCGAATGCACGCACCGGATTGAAGCCCGCATACCGTGCAGCCTCATCACCCCTAGACGACCGCACGGGTCTGAACAACGCGAAATCCTCGCCTGCACTGAATGGTTACGCCAATTCACGACAGCCCAGTGTCAAAGACCTGTTGAAGCGTTTCGACCAGAACAATTCGCAGCCTGCATCCGAAGCTCCAAAGGCCCCTGGACGACTTATCACGCGAGGATTGAATAATGGACCTGGATATGCAAAGGAGCGAGTTGGATACCAAGCTAGGACAGCAAACACAACAAATACAGCGGGCACGAGCCGAGCAGGAGCTTCCTCAAGCCATGTTCCACCCAACAGACAAAAGTCCCCAGCACAGACGAGAACACAGCGGACTCGATTTGCGACTGAAGACCAGCATTCCAACAATACATTATCAGGTGCAGCTCGGCCTGCGAGACCACGAAACGCGGCCACGGGGTCGATATCACAAGCCTCGAAGTCCATGGTCAACCTCTCCCCGACCTCACCCCATGCTCCGTCCCAAACACAAAACAGACAACCTCTCTTTGGCGAGGTTATAGGGCAAGGAACACCAGATATTGCCTACGGTATTCCGCGCGCCCCCATTCGCAGAACCTCGGACTCGAACCTGCAACCTAATTCAGCACATCGACGAAGCAAGTCTGATTTCGATGTTTCTCCCTCCTCCCCAACCGCTTGGTACCTCGGTGTTACGCCCACATTGGACGATGTTGATCCAAACAAAACGCGGGCCGCACCTGGCCACAACCGAAACCACAGCGATTTCGCGGACACGAAGGTAAATACTATGAACGGTGTCAGTCCATCGTTTCAGAATTCACACTCTCGGAGTCCTTCACTTCAGCCCTCGGCATCACGCCTGCCTAGAGCCACGCATCGACTCAGCGGCGGTTCATCCGATTCTTCGAGTCTACCTTCAACGCGTGCGAACTCGCCCTTTTCCACCAAGAAACTTGCGAATGGGAACCCCCCAAAACCTGGCCAGAGGCCCTGGAGCCCTGCTGGTCGTGGTCGTGCCATAACCCCAACAAATCGCGAGAAGACACCGACAGGACGAGGACATCGAGGCAAATCGCACAGTCCCGGGAACATCAATACAAACTCAAGCCTCAAAGCCTACATTTCTGCCCCTCCTCCGAAGACATCCCCCCCTCTTCGGAGTTCGCGACCACGACAACCTGTTTCCTCTGCAGCAGCAGCCGCTGCCGCGAAGCCCAGGCTTCCTGATCCTTCCACCTCACCGAAGCAGACTCGAAGCGGCATGAAGCTAACTCGAAATATCGCAGGAAGTGAACATAAGGATCGAAAGATCTCGGATGCACAATTGACGAAGGAGGATTTCGCGGCGCGAAGAGCTGAGATACATCGGGCATACACAAAGTCAATTGCGTTGGAGGATCAGGCTAGGATTCGCGCCAACAACTTGAAGCGATTGCAAGAGAGACAGGCCCTCGACTTGGCAGTAGCAGAGGCTGCAGAGGCTGCAAAGGCCGCGGCGGAAAAGGAAAAGCTTGCGGAAGCACAAGCACTTCCTGCAGAACCAGTAGCAGAGCCAACCCCAGAGCCAACCGCAGAGCCACCTGCCAGTCATCCACTACTTCATCTCACCACATCTTTTCAAACCCCACAATATCCTCGCAATGAACAGAATCAATTTCCTGCAGGCCAAGACTCTCCGACGCTTGGGATGCCAGGAACCTTCATCGACGATGACGAGCCTCCATCCGCAATCTCGAATGCTACATGTACGACAGAAATTGACAACGAACCTCAAACGGAAGCCGCTCGGCTGAGTCGAATGCCATCCGGGGGACGACAACGCAGTGGACTATCTAGTCATGTCACCTACATGGAGGATGGACTGAGTGCAGAGCAGGCATTGTTTGGTTCGCAACACATCGATGAAGACACGATCAAGATCATGCTCGAGCCTCCTTCAGCGGTAGAGCCACCAGCAGAGCCCACGCCTACGAAGAATCAGTTCGCCAGAGATCCTGCGCCGCCAGGTGCGTATCAGCAGGATGATGACTACCGCAATTACAACCAGCCAGTGTTTGCCACTACACTTACGGCTGCGAGCCCGTTGGATTCAACACCTGGCCATTCCGAGGCCATATCTCCCCTGTCTGGCAACGAGGAACCAAGATTTGGGTATGATGAGGCGAATATTTCAGATGCGAGCGATCCTCACGAAATGAGACAAGTATCGCAGATTGCCCCCGAAATCTCATTACATGAGGAGCCAGAAGAAATCCCAGAGTCCACCGGGGAAGAACCGAGATTTCAACTTCCTATGCTCCGAACAGCACTCGCCCCGCAATCGTTGACCCCCAGTGATGTCTCACATGACTACCTCGGGACTCCTCTCACAGATATGGAGTACGAGAGTTCAGATGGAGCAGCACCCCACGCTGCTTCGTCCGAAGAACGCGACAACAGGGATGGCGAATTATCCCCCGATCAAGAGCGCACAAGTGGCTGGAGTGATTTCAAGATGAGATTGTCTGCCGAGCAGAAGCGAACAAGTGTCTGGACTGATTATTCTGTTGATACCGGTGATGAATGCTCTGAGCGAGAGGAACATGCTGCCTCCAAATTCCCCAGTGCGACCCGTCCAGCACCGCCACCCCCAACAGAGCAGACGGACTCGACACCGGAAGCCCAATCCAAACCCGAATACAGTCCTCTGCCTTCTCCACATTTTCCCGGCGATATTCCACAGCGAGAGAGTTCGAATCGCCACCAACTGCCTCCCCTATCCACGAGTGGTAGCTTTGCCCAGGAATTTTCGGATTCTTCGCCTGGCTTTGCTAATATCCACATGCCACTCTGGCCAAATTACTCACCTCCTCCCCCACTTCATCAACCTGGCGAATCCTCTCCTGCCCTGTCGTCGGGTCGATCACCACCGCCTGCAAGTCTCTACAACAGACGACCACCCTCAAGTTTGTACCAATCTAGCCAAAATGGTGCTCGTAATCCCGAGTCAAGACGCGCAAGTGATGATGTATACTCTCCGCGAGCGTCTTCGTCGACTCCCAGATCCAGCACACAAATATCTTTAGAGGAGTCTTCCGCTGACCAATCATTGAAATCAAAGAGCACGACAGCCACTTTGGCAGGCGACGAAAAGGAACAAAAGCGTCTCTTCCAGCGCCGAATGGTGATCAAAGAGTTGATTGATACCGAAGCAGTCTATCTGAAGGACATGAATGTCGTTGAGGAAATCTACAAAGGCACTGCCGAGGCGTGCCCTAAGCTGGATACCGGCGACATCAAAGTGATCTTCAGAAACACCGATGAGATTGTTGCATTCACAACGATGTTCTCTGATGAATTAAAGTCTGCCGGATCAAGTGTGTACTCATCCAGATCCCCGAAGCCGAGCAAAGCTGTTGCATCCCCCTCCGCAGACGACAGATCCTCGATCGCAGCCACACTAGCGGAGGAAACCGATGAGCAAAAGGATCGAAAGACATTCATAGGAGCAAACTTTGGCAAGCATTTAAAAAGAATGCAGATCATCTACACCGATTTCTTGAAGAACAGCGAGATCGCAAGCTCAAGATTAGGCATTCTCCAGACCGATAACGCTGTGAAGGTCTGGCTGGGCGAGTGTAACCTGGTCGCCAAGGATCTTACCCAAGCTTGGGATCTCGATGCATTGCTGGTTAAGCCGGTGCAGCGCATCACTCGGTACCAACTCCTCCTCGCCCAAATTAAGCAGAATACCCCCGCCGACCACCCTGACTACGAAGCTCTGGCTCTTTCCCTGCAAGAAATAGGAAACTTGCTGCAGAACATTGATGATCTGAAGAAGCGAATCCACATGGTGGGAAAGATTGTCGGCCGCAAGCGCAAGGAGTCGGATGTTCGGACCGGTTTGGCTAAGGCCTTTGGCCGGGCTCGTGAAGCAAAGGTCCAGGCGAATCCCAACCGACCTCGCGATGACGAGGTGTACGTGAAACTGCACGAGAAGTTCGGTGACGATTACCTTCGCCTGCAAGTCGTTCTTCGAGATGTGGAGTTCTACACCCGTCAGGTGACGACATGGACCAACGACTTCCTTCGATATCTCTCGTCAATGGAACTCATCATGCGGATGACCGCAAGTCCGTATCCTGAGCTCGAGAGCAAATGGGCTCGATTCAATATGTCAATGAGAGATATGGGCACCATTGCGTTGGAAGATCATGTAGGTATTCTTGAAGTGCTCGTATTTCATTCGCTGATATATTTAGATCCTCCACGTTCGGAAAAAGGTCATCGAGCCATTCGAATCAGTTATCCAAGCTTACGGCCCCCCTGGCCTGGCAATGAAGAAGCGGGCCAAACGCCGCCTCGACTTCGAGAGAGCTCTCACGCTCAAGTCGCAAGGCAAGAAGATTGACGAGAAGTTGACCGATCAGGTCACTCAATATGAAGCTCTGAATGAGACACTCAAGCTGGAGTTACCGAAGCTGTCAGCTTTGACTGTTAGTCTTGGCAAAACTTGCCTGATCCAACTCGTCCAAATCCAGACCGAGTGGTATCACATCTGGCAAGGAAAAGTTGGAGCTGTGTTGGAGAAGGACCAAATGCCCAAAAGCATCACAGACATTGTCGAGATGCACTTTCGGGAGTTCAAGTACGTCGAGGCAAGTGTCCAAACGCTAGGAATTGTCAGTGGCTATTTTGAGAGCTTATCGAAGACCCGAGGATCTCAATCAACCCAGGATGATGAGTCTGCTCGCCCTTCGTTGAGCGCCACAAGCCGGTCACGAATTCGAGGACATTCGGTCAACAGCGACAAATCTCCCAGTCTCCCGACTCCGGACTTTGCGAAGCGATCCAGCGGCCAATTCACCTTCTCGCCTCTCGTCTCCAATTCCCCAGGCCTGCCACAGCTTGCTTACCAGACTCCTTTCTCGAATGGTCACTCCCGCGGTGGATCTGGTTCTCCTGCTACTCCCGATGGCTTCATCTCTCGACAACATTCAAATCTTCCAAGACCAAGCACTGGACGAAGCTTTACTTCTGACGGCGGCATGCGGGCTGTCAATGATTACAACACTCAAGTTCGTCGCGAATCCGGGTCTGGCTCAGCATACAATCACCATGTCGATGGACCTCACACTGGGCGCCCGTACTCGGGTATCTTCCATTCGGCTCTGCCTGATGGTCCAGAGGAGAGCCAACGATCATCACGAACTTCTTCAAGAGACAGGAATATATCTGGCGGTTACAACGTACTCTACCTGGCGGCAAGCTTGTTCGAGTTCAATATTAGTGCAACGAAATCAGAGGCCGGTTACCCTTACCTGACATATCAGGCTGGTGAGGTTTGTTCTGTCCCGTTCCCTCTTCTTTGGTCCGAACTAACAGACGAAATAGATCTTCGATGTCATCGGCGAGAAAGGCGAGCTCTGGCTTGCAAAGAACCAAGACGATCCTTCTGACCAAGTCGGCTGGATCTGGAGTAAACACTTTGCGCGTTTGGCGACCGACTGAAGCACCATCGCGAGATGTTCTTCATCGTGTATAATGGCGTTTTACGAACGGAATGGGATTTCACGGCGGGGAGTTTAGTAACAATAATACGGTACGGCAACGAGTGCGCGCCTGGTGCGCTCGGATCTGATACAGCTACCTATACAAGGGAAAGATGGCAGGTGGCGTTTTACGGGTTATTTCACGTTCTTCAGCATCTCGTGGGCATGAACTCGGCGAATGGGCAAGCGACCAACTACATTGTTTGAGTTTATCTTTCTTTCTTTCGGAGGTTCGATTTCATGCTTGGGAGAGGCATATGTCTGTGTATTAAGGGGTGGGGAAACAATGCGGCGATGAATGAATGGGGTGTATTTACAGGACGATGGACGATGGGATGAATCTGCTTATGGCGGCTGGTAGATCACGGTCACATCGAACGGCGGACTGTTCTGTTCGTTTGGGTGGGATTTCCACCTACACTACAATATGATTCGCAGGATACATGACAACGTTGGGTTTTTATACCTGGCAGAGGTTAGGGTTTCACCTAGCTAGAGGTCATGAATACTGCGAGAGGGAGCAACATGCTTGTATGCAGAATAGAGCATATAGATGCAGATCAATCAAAAGTGTCTGATTACTGAAATTCTGTTCCCCTCTGGCTTCAATGTGGCATGAATCGTGATTGCTGTCTCGCACCCTTGCTTTCGTTGAGGAGTGACTTCTTGCTGGGCACGTGACGCATTAACGAACTTCATGTGAAGATTTAATTTCCCAGGCAGAATCCACAGGCTCAGGACTCTCCGTCTGATTGATGTATCAATACATGGCATTTTGACTAGAACTCAGTAAACCGTGTCCTTTATTGGCAGATTCCCAGCACAGACACTCTCAAGTAAGTGCCCTTTTCTCTTCCCCCATCGTTCTCTTGCTCCGCCTCTTCCCCCTCCTGCTTCTCTCTCAATTTAACTTTCCGCTAACTTTCCTGGCCCCGATTCCGGCTACTCTTCCTTAAATTGCGCTTCTCTTCTCTCCCCGGAAAACACGGCCCTCCAGACATGAAGGAGCTTGACCTGCGTTATGGCCATGGCCACGCAACGGTTTTTTCCATAGCATGCATGGAAGTCTCTTGCTTCTCCATGCTCCTTGATCCTTTCTCCACACAGGGGTCTTCGGATGGAGAGATCGGACGCGAGAGAAGGAGGAGGCACGAAATCGACGCTAGACAAAAGCGGCTCCCTCTCGAGTTTTGTTTTGCCATGTTAAAAATCTCCAGCGCGGTGGATTAGTTAACACCAGATACAGATCTCCACGAGAGACAATTATTTCACTTCATCGATGCCCCATGCCCCCTCCCATGCCCATGCCCTGGCCCAAGCCAGATCCCTTCCGCGGCGCAAACGGCGTGTCAATCCCGCCCCAATGCGTATACGCCGTCGTCGGCGGCACCGGCGCCAGCAAGTCCTCGCCATCGCCCACTCCAGGGAGGTAATTAACCTGGTTCCCACCCAGCGTCATGGGTACAGGTCCTCCAAAGTCTTCACTGCCTCCAATGATCCCCTCTACGCCTCCTCCGCCACTGCCAAATAGCCCACCCGCCCTATCTCCGCTCAATAACCCGCTCACTCGCCCACTCACTTCGTTCGGGCCACCTAATCCAGCACTGCTGGCGAAATTGTCGACGCCGAAGAAACCCTTCAGGTCCCAGGGCAGGTCGACGGGTTCTTTCTGGAACCAAGTGTTTACTGCGGTTTGGACGTTTGGTTGGGCCGGGTTGTTTTGGGATTGCGGGGGCCCATAGTCGAAAGAAAACAAGCCCTGTTGATGTTCCATGTATCGTCTAAACTCCTCGTTTCGATCTTCTCCTTCGCCTCCTTGGCCCTGCGAAGCCGAGTTCGGGACGTCGAAGATTCCGACGATTTTCGCGAGTTGGAGCGCAACTTGGGTGAGGATTGTGAAGGTGGGGCAGAGCTTGATGGGTTGTAGTGCGGACATCAGGTCGCGCACTGCTTGTTTCCTAGCACAGTCTTCAGGCGTGTCTAATTCGTCCCACGGGCGGGCGAGGAAGTCGAATGCGAGGATGAAGACTGAGTGGTAGATGTAGTAGGCGTCTACCCATTGGACGCCGTCGAACATGTCGTTTACGAGAAGTTGGTGCAGGAGCACTGCTGATTTGCGGGAGTAGGTTCCGCAACTGTGTGAGAGGTTCAATTCTTCGGTTTCGAGGTCTTGTGAGCGCACGTGGCGGCCTAGTTTGCGGGCTAACTGGACGCCGACTTTGCGCAGGATGAAGGGACGCGTGACGAGCGATTGGATGTGGTGGTATTGGATATGGAGGAGAATTACTGCTCTCCTGTGTTGTGGAGATGAGGAGGGAAATTCGAGACGTAATGGAGGAGGGAGGCTATTATGCCAAGAGTCGAGGTCGAGAAGAAACTGGATGGCGACACCGACTTTAGGATATTCGCCTTGCTGCGTCGTGGAGGTGGGTGAAGCGTAGATTTTGCGTCGCACAGACGAGAGCAGTTTTGACAGCCGGACGGAATACTCGATATAGGATGTTGGGACGGACATCCCGCCGTCGAGCATTATTTCATCCGGGAAGGTAACGTTGACTTCCATGTCGTCGATTGCGCAAGGCCGGCCGAGGATGGCGCATTGTAGTTGTTCGAAGGTGTACGCCGTCCACCAGACTCTCTTGCGGACTTCGCGCTCCATGGAGTCGAAGCCCCCGGATGTGCCTTCGCGGTGCATTCCTAAGGCCATAGCCATTCTGGATGCGCAGCCTAATAACATGAACGCGCTGTTGCGCTCGGTGCAGTTGTGTTGATAGAGTTGGAGAAGCAAAAGAGCTTGCACGTTGATGAGGGTTGTTGCGCTGATTAGCTGGTGCATCCGGGCTTGCACGAGGTCAAGGTAGTGCCGCTGTATCTGCGCAGATTGTCTCGTGTCTCTGTCCTCCAAGGCTTGGGCACCGAATACAAGCAGCATAAAGATGGTGCAGATCCAGCCGGGCTCGACGTCGCGCATCAGGATGTGCGGCTGCAGCCACATGGTTTCATAACGTGACTGGAAGGTCGGCCGATGGAAGAGGGGGTAGTTGGCGTGGACATGCTCGAAGTAGGCGGAGATGAAGGTGTCGGTTACTTCTTTGTTTGGCAGGAGGGAGAGGACGGTGATTTTCTTGAGCCGGCTGTTGAGGGATGTGCTATCTACTGAGCCGGGAAAGAGAGATGGTGCTCGAGGTCTTGGGGCTCTTACTGGACGCATCGGATCGCTCATTCTCATGTCGATGTTGTCTTCAGAAGAATCCTCGCTTTCTTCTTTGACGATGGGCTCAAGCGCTTTGCTCCAGTTTGAACCAGCGAAGTCGGCTGAGATCTTGGACCGTTCATCGTCAGGTTGGACAGATTTCAAAGCTGCGTTGAATTCAGCAACCATGTTCCTGACAGTAAGAACAAAGCCAAAAGAGCTTGATGGGCCAATGTAATGGGATGGTCCTTGCGGCATGGGGACGAGCTTCTCTTCCACCACGCTCTGCTTCCTCGATGATGAGCTTCCAGGAGAGCCTTCCGGTTCTTTTGATGTCATTGAAGGGCTTCCCCCACTTCCTTGCGAGTGCTGAGGAGACGTTACAGTTGGTTTAGGCGGTTGACTGAAGACCTCTTCGGCAACAGTCTGCTCATCGAAGGTGGGCAGGGCAATGTCATGTTCTTCGGCGATTGCGTAGAGAGTTTGGAGATCATTAGTATCTTTGTGAGGATACAATCCCTTGATCAAAGCATCGAGAACTCGATACCGGACGCTGAGTGTCTCCACACTTCCATAGATTCGGGTCTTTCGAGGCAAGGTGGACTCGCAGTTGACGCCAGCCTCCAGGCAGCTCTGGCACGCCTCGTGGGCATCGGTGCCGCTGGAGCGAGAGCATCGTATCCTCCTCTTCTTACAGCGATCGCAGCTCACCAGCGCTCTCCTTCGTAAGTGGTCCGGGATGCGGGCCTTGCCGGTCTTCTTGCCTTTCCCCGTGAGATCCATCGTTTGGTGGATGTCAGCGCCACACGGTTAATTGCCGAATGTACCGAGAGCGCGGACCTGGGAACCTGTCTCGCGCGGGAGTCGTACAGACGGGATCCTCATGAATCGCGATTGGGGATTGTTTTGTGTCTGGCTGCAGCCAACAGCCTCCGTTGAGGTCGAGATGTCGTTGGAATGTTCCTTTTGTGGGTGTGGGGAAGGGGAGGTGGAAGGGGGAAATGCGAGGCAACGCTAAGCTTTTCTCGGGAGCCGCCCGACCGACCGATGTTCAGGGCTGCAGCAGCCCATTCAGGGCTGGTGATGGTCTGAGAAGTGCCCTGCCAGGCGTGGACAAGGCTGGGCAAACTGGCAAGGGTCGGCAGGATGGACGATTTGCGGCGATTCGCAGCGAGAAGTGAGTGGTGGAGGAGGAGGAGGAGGTGTGGTGGTGGTGGTGGTGGTGGTTTCTTCTGGTTGATGCTGAAGAAGCGCTGACGAATGCGGGAGCACGGAAGCAGGGGAGCATAGGAAACATAAGAACATGGGAACAGGGAGCAAACGGAGTAAGAACATGGGAGGGAGCATGGGAGTATGGGAGCATGGGAGCATGGGAACACGGGAACACGGGAACACGATATTGCACGGGCCACGGACGTTACACACGACACCACACGGCAATTGTGGGCTGGCGATTGGCTCAGAGGGGGAGTGCCGTGGCCTGGGGCTGGAACAGTGGAGGGAGCAAGCAGGGAGTGAAGTGTGAAGTGTAAAGTGTGGAGTGTGAAGCGTGAGGTGTGAAGTGTGAGGTGTGAAGAGCGTGCGGATGAGAAGTGTGGTTGTTTAGCGCCTCAGCAGGCGTACCTAGTCGGTCCGCAATCCGCATCTCAGAGCGCAACAAGCCAGTGCTAATTCTGGCCATTGCTCTGGCCTGGCCTGCGCCGCCAAGAGCCCAAGAGCGCAAGGCCTGCGCTTGGCAGGTGATCTGAGCCGGTGTTTTGAAGTAGAACTCGACTTTGCATTGAGAAGAACAGGCTCTCGGCATCGAGCCACCATGGCGGCTATGCTAGCCATGGCATGCTATGCCATACCACCTTTCCGCACTCACCTTTGCTTCTGCTGTCAACCGGCCAATGATAAATCCCGCAGCCCCCAATCCAATCCCATGTTCAGCCCCCAACTACACCAGGCCCAACGGGTGGTGATCCCCAGCATGCCATCAATGTCGTTATCCGCCTCCGCTCGTCTCCAGGGACACGCTGCTGGGCCTAGGCCAGGGCCTACTGGACGCGCGGGAAACGTGCGGCGTGGGTTCGCGACCCCCTTTTCTGGGTTTCCATCCCTTCCCTCATCCCTCGCAGTCGCATCTGAGATTTGCATCCCGAGATTCCAGCATCATGCTGTGAAGGAACGCAGGCCGGCCCCTGCTCTGCCCTGCTCTGCTCTGCCCTGCCCTGCTTTGTCCGGAACCCGGCACTCGGGCGCTCCAACCAGGCCCTCTTTTCTGGCTATTCCACCACTCTCCACCTCTACTCCTCAAACCAGTGAACTACAGTCTACAGATGCCACAGATACCACAGCTAGAGTACCACAGGTGCCACAGAGGGACCACAGCCTCCACCACCAGCGCACCTCCAAGCCGTCCGGGCCGCACTAACAGCCAGTGATGGGGAAAGGCCGCACTGGGACGGCGGGATTTCCCAGTTGACTGTGCATTGGCCAAGAGACAGAGCAGCCTCGATTGGACGCCCACGTCGCCCAGAGCTCCGTCGGCTTGGAACGTGTTATCGCACTTGGGCGTGGCGTTGAGCAGAGTCAAACCAAAACTCAGCTGGAGCGTGTGGCGTTCCTACCGCCAGCTCCCCATCAACTCTACCCCAGTAGCATCCCAGTCCTTCGCCCAGAAATCCAAGAAGCTGCCCCCTTCTTTCACTAGGCCGCAACATTTTGAGTGCCCCATTTCCACATATCAAATGCTATTAAGCTCTGCCTCCCCTCTCTCTGCCGGCCGGCCCTAGGGCTGGAGTCTCCCTCTCTCGCCTCTCTCGTCCTCCTCTGCTTTCTTGCGCAAAGAGCGAAGCGAGCGAGCGACTGCAACCTCCCCCCAGCGATGGATCGCGACCGCGTGGAGGAAGGCTTCGCAGGCGCGAACATGTCTTCCTCGACCTACGTGGGCAGCAGCGACGGCGCTCTCTCGAAGCAGATGTCACAGATGTCGCAGACGCAGATTGAGAAACGGGGCTCATCCAACTCTTCGGGATCGCTCGACGCTCACACTCGTCCCATCAAGCTGGATTCCAAGGGCCTGCCTCTCGTGCCCCAACCCAGTCGCTTCACCGACGACCCACTGGTCAGTTCTACGCGCCCCTGCATCCGTCCATCCATCCCTAGATATTTATTGACCGCACGCAGAACTGGTCGCCGTGGTTGAAATGGGCAGTCCTTATCCAGGTCGGCTTCATGGCCTTCCTGGGCCCGTACAACGCAGCGCTCATCAACCCGTCGCTCGTCCTGCTCAGCAAGGGCATCGGCGTCGACTCCAAGACAGCCGCCTACACGACGACCACGGGAATCATCCTGGGCGGGATTTCGCCGTTCCTCTGGACACCCCTGACCAATTATTATGGCAGGCGGCCAATCACGCTATGTGCCATTCTGCTCACCATCCTGGGCGGTGTCGGCTCAGGGGTATCCCCAGATTTCAGCGCCTTGCTCGGGACGAGAGCGTTATGTGGGTTCGGCTTCGGGGGCATGATGTCAGTCGGCACGGCGTGTTTGAATGATATGTTCTTCCTGCATGAACGAGGAGCGAAGACGGGAGTTTACTCAATATTCGTCACGAACGGTGCTCATGTTGCAGCGCTCAGTAAGTGCTCCGGAGACCTGGTTCTGTGCCTCGCTGTTGCAGATCACCGTTAAATGTAGAGCTTCATCTAACATCGCACAGTCGGCGGCTTCCTAGGCCAGGCAGAAGGATGGAGATGGGACTACTGGCTCGGCGCAATCAGCACCTCGCTCTCCTTCGCCGTCGCACTCTTCCTCTTCCCTGAAACCCTCTTCTCTCGAGATCCCATCTTCCTCTCCACCCGCACACGGACACGAACGTACTTCCAACTCCTTTTCGACTTCAAAGGCAACATGATCCCCGGTCGTCGTCTGCATGCTAGCGACTTCCTCCAATCTTTCAAAATGCTGAAGTATCCATCAATATTATTTCCAGTTTGGTATTACGCCTGGGGCTGGACATTCATTAACGTCATGCCCGCCATCACTCTCGCTACCATCTATTCTCACTTCTTCAATCTGAAGGCAGGACCCATTGGCGCGTGTCTCGGAATCTCGTTAATGATCGGCTCGTTCCTGGGCGAGTTCTTCGCAGGCAAAGCCTCCGACCTCCTCATGACCTACCTCGCCAAACGTCATGGCGGGAAGCGAAAACCTGAACACAGATTATACCTCTGTACACTCAGTGCGCTGTTCATGCCCGCAGGCCTAATAATCTTCGGCAGCACAGTCTCCTCGCAACCCTCGTACCTCATCCCACTCATCGGGCTGGGCGTTGGCGTCTTTGGTCTCCAGATCGCTAGCACGACGCTCTATGCTTACGTCTCTGACTGCTACAAGCCACAGACTCCTGAAAGCGGCGTGCTGTTTAACCTGAGTCGTGGCCTGTCTTTCATAGTCGGATACTTTGCTCTCCCGTTCGCCGGGGCGGTGGGGTACTTTTGGGCTTGGTTTACCTTCGCCGCCGTCCTCTTCGTGTCGTTCTTTCCCATAGTATCGCTAATGGTCTGGGGTGAAAAATGGAGGCGAAAACTCGGAGAGCCTAATTTCCACAGATATCTCTGAGGCGGTGTTTGATTATGTTGTCCCGGTCTATGGTGGGAATGGAGCGTGGAGTTTTGGGGTGGGTCATCATCTTGGATTGGAGTTTGTTGCTGTACATATATATACCCCAGTTGTCTCTCGGTGCCAATGCATGGAGAGCTGCATTGGAGGACAGAGTTGTCTGTCAAGATGGAAGATTCAGAAGTCTGGCTGGCTACTAGGGATGTGTGATACTTGTACAAGTTGGCGGCCTCCCGATTGTACTTAAACGAAAAACAAAGTAATGCCGATCGAATAAACCTTATCCAGCGGTCTTGAACTTTCCAACATCTAATATCTCATTGATTCTCGCATAAGTATGCTTTGCTTCCTTTGTTCTCATCGGGTCAGAATTGCCTCCTGAGGGCCCGCCTCAGTGTGGGCGATGAGACATGGCTTTCCGGACCCTAGCTGATTGGAATGGACGCTCAAAGGCCAGCTTGGCATAGAACGCTAAGGCGGGGTAAGTACCAAAGGGCATCTGAGACATGTCTTACTTCGACCTAAACACTGAGTACTTAAGAATGGTCATCCTCTGGTATGCCCACACCACCTCGGCGCCTGATTTGAAGCTCCCTTCGTCATGAAACTGGTCGTGTGCGTTGTCATTGTAGGCATAGCGGTGGCGGCCACGGAGCCCATCGTGTTAGAATATCGCCAAGTAATCGAGACGCGGGTCCAAGCAGATACATACATTGCTCTTCGTCGTAAGGTCGCCGCATGATTCCGATCCATGCACTAACACTTTCTAGGAAGGGACTCGTCCACATCCACTTCAACATGCCCTTCAGGCAAGGAGCTCTGCTCCGCCTCCAACTATCCCCAAATCAACTCCTGCATCCCAGCGAGTTCGCTGTGCTGCGATTACACCTTTAGCGTGGGATACTGTCCCACATCTGCTCGCTGCGGCAGCGGTAGATTTGCCGGCTGTTTCGCCCCTGATCCCGCGACCCCGGTGGTAACCGTTGTTGCGCCGTCGACGACGCCTGTGGCTTCGGTCTCTGGCACTGCAGGGACAGCTTCGGGGGGTGGTGAGTAGAGGTCCTTCAGGGGGGAGCGAGTTGGGGAGGAGCTGACGACTTTAGGCTCGGGAGCGCCAGGTACGGGGCTCCCTACAGGGAGTATTGTTGGGATATCGGTCTCTGTTGCTTGTTCAGTGATAGGGCTAGTGTTTGGGATTGGGTTCAAGATCTGGAAGCACAAGAGGAAGGAGAAATTGGGGAATGCACCTGCTGTTGCGTGAATCATAAGGTGGTAAAGTCAATTATAATAGGTAATATCTAGTTATTTGTCTATATATAGGTTCACAATACTTATACTGCAACGATTCCCTGCCAGCCACATTAATGAAAGCTCCTAGAAGAAAGTAAAGAAGAAACCCTCGATGTATTATAATAAGAGATATTGTTTATACCTGCCTGGATATTAAAAGCGAGGTTCTAAAAGCAAAAGCCAAACTTCTAAGTTCTGAGGGCTTTTAGTAAATAGCAAATTAATAACGCATTTATAAAAATTTAAAAGCCTTGCTTTCTTTTATAAAAATACTTTAATATATTACTTGTTTAGCTAGGCTTACTTGGGTTTCTTGCTATATATACTTACTAAATAAAGAAATATATTATATGAAAACTAATAAAATATAAACTTTATTTTAATTATTATAAGATATATAATAATAGAGTAATATATAAGTAATTAAGATAAGTAAACTATAAAATAATACTTATAAATATAACTAATTTCAAGAATTAATTCTAATAAAAAACTAATTAATATTTCTTTTTAAAGCTAGAAATATTTTCTTATATATTTTCTAGTATTTAGCCAAATATATAAAGTTCTTTATTTAATTAGAAAATGCGATTTTATATAATTTATATAATTCTAATTATAAGCTTTATCTAAAATAGAAAACTAGATCTATAATATCTAATATTTATTTATATATTATTATATATATCTATTATAGTAATTTCTTTTCTAAGTTCTTATTTATTATACTTTACTACTTTACTAGTAAATTTGGTATTATATAACTATAATAATATATATAGCTGGCTAGTATTTAAAATACTAAAGCTTTTATACTTATAAGCTTTTCTCTTTAATTTAGAATTCTCGAATTAAGAACTATTTTACCTTACTTTCCAAGTTTAAAAACCCGGTTTCGTAATATTATTTTAAACTTATTCTTATTCTTATAAATAAAATAAAACTATTCTTATATCTTATATATAAGTATAATATTTATAATAATTTAATAATAGTACTATTAATATATATAATTACGGAACTATATATTTACTAGAGAAACTAAAAGCTTATTAGATTCTTTCTTATTTCTAGTTTATAATACCTTTTTTCTTTTTTTCGAAATACTATAATAGATTTACTTTTATAGATCCAGATTATAAATGCAATTACCGAGTTTTAAATAAAAGTTTAATATTAAGCTAAGGTTATTTAGTAATAAAATAATAGCTTTCTTTTTCTATAAGCTTACTCTTTTATAAATATTAAGCCAAAATTCTTTCTTTTATATTCCGAAAAATTTAATAGCTAGATTTATAAGTTTAATACTTGGCTTCTTTTAATTAAGACTAAGCTATAGGTTAATAATAAAGCTATTAGTAATATTACTATTTAGTTCTACTATATTTACTTTAATCTAGAATCTTATATTCAAGTAATAGTTCTTTTTTAGCTTTTTCGGGCTAAAAAAAACTAAATCTAGTTCTATTTTTTAATTCTTAATTAATTCTCTTATATTTACTGAATTCAAATAAAATATAAAAGGTAAAGAATAAGCTATATTCTTTTAAATAAAGTATTAATTCGCTTTATACTTTTATTATTAAGTTTAAATATATTTTATATAAAATATAAAAGTAAAACTAGAATAATATTAATAAGATTATAGCTTTTTACTAAGGGCTTAATACTATTATTAAAAATAGGCTAGTATAATAATTAAATTTCTCTCGAACCTATATTAAGTTTATTAAGATAATATAATAGCTAGCTAAATACTCTAGTATATATAAATATTATAATTCTAAAAAAAAGCCTTATTATTTATATAATACTATAAATATATTAATTATTAATATTATTAGTATAATTACTAAACCGAAACTCTTTTTTCTATAATACTTTTCTTTATAATTCTTCTTTTTATTTCATATAAATAATTAAATATAATTTATAAATCTAGTAAAATACTAGTTATTTTAAAAATAAAACAAATATATATATTATAAAAATAATAAATACTAAATAAAGAACTATAATATTAAATTATATAAAAAAGGTATTTCTATTAGAACTAAAGATTATAATAAATAAAAATAATAGAAAAGTCAGAATTTATATAATTAATAATTCTAATTCTAATAATAGTTATAATTCTAATTATTTAATTAGATTTTATAGCTCTAATTCTAATTCAGATTCGGATTTAGAAAAACCAATATATTAGAAACTAGTATATTAAAAACTAATAAAATATTATAAGAGAGAAACTATAATAAAATAAAAACCTATATAAAATAGAATTTAATAATAAAATATAAATAGTATATAGTATATAAAAGCTTAATTAATTAAATACTAAAAAGGAATTATTTTCTAGAATTATAAAAAAACTAGCTTTCTTATATAATTTCTATAAGTTATATATAAAAGGCTACGGCTTTTACTATATAACTAAAACCTTAAAACTATTAAAATAATATAATTTTTAGAGAATATAGCCTGCTATATTATATTTAATTTCCTATTTATTTATACTTATTTCCTAAGTATTAAAACTAATAAAAAAATTCTATTTAGAATTCGAAATAATAAAATAATTAGGATTTTTCTTTATTAGCTAATCTAATTTCTTTTTAATATATCTAAAATAGAATTTATTACTCTTAAATAATCTTATTTTATACTTCCGAACTTATTTAAAAGTAATCCAAATTCGCTTAGCTATATTCTTATACTAAATCTAATATAGTTCTTTATATTAATTAGTATTTACCTTTAATTATTACTTAATTTCTGCCTTTATTATTAGATATTAAAAAGGCTTATTATAGTAAATTATATTATAAATTATACTAATGTATTCTAAATAAATAATATCTTTAAATTTCGTATTATTTATAGCATTTTTAAATTAATTTTAATAGAAAAGAAAAGCTCTAGATAAGAGCCTTTAATAATCTTATAAGAAACTTTATTCTTATATATTCTATTTTTAATAATAACTAGACTTATTAGAATTATAATAAAGTATCTATTAAATAGTAAATTATTATTAAGCTATTTTTTAGCTTCTATATTATTCGAGAATTATTACTTGCCTATAATTTTAGATTTATAAATTATCTAGCTAAAGGCATTTATTTATCTAGTTAAATAAACTATATTTAAAGTTTTTTCTTTTATTATTTTTAATAAATACTTATTTATTTCCTTAATCATTTCCGGCTTAAAATTATTAGAAATAAAAAAGTAATTAATATTTTTAAAGAACTTCTTATTAAAAATAATAGTTTTTTTATAATTTATAATAAAAATATAGCTAATATTCTAATACTTTTTTATTAAAATAGAATTCGCTATTTAAAGCTTTAGTAATAACTAGATCTTTAATATTACTTTTATATTAATTATAATTAATATTTCTAGAAATATAGTATTAGGCTAATTAAAAATAAATAACTAAATAAATGAAGTACTTATTTAATATCTCGTAAAATCCGAGCTATATTAATAGATCTATTATTAAGAATTAAGAAACTAAAATAAAGTAATTATTATCTAGATTTTTATATTTTATTATATTGTTTTTTTTTCAGAAATAGAATTATAGTATTTCTATTTCTTATATTAAAAGCTTTTAAATACTAAACTTCTTAATTTATTTTAGATAATTCTTCTTATAAATATAACTATTTATATCTAAATTAGTAATACTAGACTTAGAAATAGAAACTATAGTATTAAATTAGAGCTATAGATTTAGGCGAAATTAATTAAAAATATAATACTTATATTTATATTTCTTAATTTCCTGGTTTTTAAAAAAGAAATCCTATATTTCCTTATTTATTTTAATAATAGAAATATATTTCTTATCTTTAATAACTTTATAAATTTTAATAACTAGCTTTAAAACATTCTTATTAATATAAATATCTCTTATATTAATAAAGAAAGTATTAATAAATTATTTAATATATATTTTATAAAAAGCTTTAAAGAATTTATTAGTAATTCTATAATATTTATATTTATAAATAAATCCTAAAATACTATTATATATTTCCTTAAAAATATACTTATTTTATTAAATAAATATTAATTTCTATTTAGCTAGTATCTTATAGATATACTAGTTAATTTTAATTTTCCCGGATTTAATATTTTTAGTTTTTTATTTCTTAATTTTAAATATAAATATAAGAGTTTTTCTAAATAATATCTTTTTTTAAAAAATAAAGAATTTTTTCTTATTTATTTTTTCTTTATTTTTCTTTATTTTACTAGCCTTATATTTAAACTAGTACTCGGATTTTTACTATTTATTAGAAGTTTTAAGTTTAGCTTATTTTTCTTTCTTACTAGATTCTTTTTATCTAATTATACTAGTTCTATTAGTTTTACTAATAGAATTATTACTAGGCTAGATTTAATTAAATTAAAACTAAAATTATAATAAAGGCCTATTTTTTAGACTTATTTTAAAAAGCAAAAAAAGGCTTATTATTATAAATTTCCTTAATTAGAATTTCAGAAGTATTAAAAACATATTATCTAGCCTTAAGATTATTAATTAATAGTAATTTAAAAACTAATTCTCTAGATTCTAAAATAGCTTTAATATATTTAAGTATCTTAATAATATCTAATTTAGTAAATATACTAATATTCTAATATTTCTTATCTTTAATATATTTTAAAATAGCTTTATTAATTAACTAAATAGTTTTATATACTAAAGCTTTTATTTTAAAAAGAGAATATAACTTCTTATAAATATTTTTACTAAGGTTATTATAGATATTATTAATATATTAGCTAAAGGCTATTATAAATATAAGATCTAGAACTAGAAAAATATAGTTAGACTATCTCTATTTTAATAATTTAAAGCTAAAAAGAGAAGAAGATCTTAAAGAAGCCTCGGATCTAAATAATTACAAGCTATATATAGGCCTATATATTAGCTTAAACTCGGGATTATATATAATAATTAGATTATTATAAATATCTTACTTAGATACCAGATATCTTTTTTAGATATTAGATATTTTACTAGCTCTAGTTT